CAGGAGCAGGATCCTGTCATGAGGCTCCCAGCCCTCTTGTCCCCGGAGAACGTGGACAGCACTCACTTTACCCAGCAGCAGCCTGTCACAGTACCTGCGGAGCTTTGTCGACCAGGGCAGCTCATGGAAGCCTTACTGTGGAGAATCTTCAATTACCCCCGAGACACGTAAACCCAGTAGGCCTCCTGAGACTGATGTCTCACCTCAGCCAACAGCCCTTCCAGATGTCAACTGATACCCTGTGACCCCAGGGCCCCTCCCTGAGTCGCACTGCTACTAGCTAGTTGGCCCAAGGCCTCTAGGTAAACCAAGATAATTTTATCAGAAATGACATTCCAGGGATTTAGAGGAGGGGACCTGGAAGGCACAGAGGGCAAAGGTCTTACCTCTCTTTGGGGAAGGTTAAATTCTTCACTACATGGAACCAAACAATGCAGGCACCAGAAGCTGCAAAAGACAAAGAAACGAATTCTCCTCTGAGCACCATGAGAGGAACACAACCCAGCCAACAGTTTCATTTTATTAATTTTTTTGTTTTATTTATTTATTTATATTTTATTATTAGTTTTTGAGACGGAATCTTGCTCTGTCACCCAGGCTGGAATGCAATGGCACAATCTCAGCTCACTGCAACCTCTGCCTCCCACGTTCAAGAGATTCTCCTGCCTCAGCCTCCTGAGTAGCTGAGATTACAGGGGCATACTCCCACACCCGGCTAATTTTTTGTATGTTTCACCATGTTGGTCAGGCTGGTCTCAAACTCCCGACCTCCTGATCTGCCCACCTTGGCCTCCAAAGTGCTTGGATTACAGGCGTGAACCACCACGCCTGGCCTTTTTTTTTTTTTTTTTTTTTTTTTTTTAGATAGAGTCTCACTCTGTTACCCAGGCTGGAGTGCAGTGGCTTGATCTAGGCTCACTGCAACCACCACCTCCAGGGCTCAGCCTCCCCAGTAACTGGGACCACCTGCACACACTGCCACACCTGGCTAATATTTGTATTTCTTGTAGAGATGGGGTCTCACCATATTGCCCAGGCTGGCTTCAAACTCGGGTTCAAGCCATACATCCATGTCAACCTCCCAGAGTGTTGGTTAGAGGTGTGAGCCACTGTACCCTGCCGGTTTTATTTTTTGAAATTTGTATTTTTGGGCCGGATGCGGTCCAAAATCACAGCTATAATCCCAGCACTTTGGGAGGCCGAGGCGGGTGGATCACGAGGTCAAGAGATTGAGACCATCCTGGTCAATGTGGTGAAACCCCGTCTCTACTAAAAATACAAAAAATTAACTGGGCATGGTGGTGTGCACCTGTAGTCCCAGCTACTCGGGAGGCTGAGGCAGGAGAATTGCTTGAACCCAGGAGGTGGAGGTTGCGGTGAGCTGAGCTCGTGCCATTGCACTCCAGCCTGGGTAACAACAGCAAAACTCCGTCTCAAAAAAAAAAAAAAAGAAATTTGTATTTTTGTGACAGGGTCTTGCTCTGTCACCCAAGCTGGAGTGCAGTGGTGCCAATATGGCTTCCTGCAACCTAGACCTCCCCAGCTCCAGCAATCCTCCCCTCTCAGTCTCCAGAGTAGCTGGGACTACAGAGGTGAGTCACCACACCCAGCTAACTTTTGTATTTTCTGGTAGATATAGGATTTTGCTGTGTTGCCCAGACTGGTCTCGAACTCCTGGGCTCAAGAGATCTGCCCACCTTGGCCTCTCAAAGTGCTGGGATTATAGGTGTGAGCCACAACACCTGGCTACATGTTGGTTTTAGATTTCTGAAATAGAATACATTTGTGGCTGGGTGCAATAGCTCACCCCTGTAGTCTCAGCACTTTGGGAGGCTGAGGCGGGTGGATTACCTGAGATCAGGAGTTCAAGGTCAGCCTGACCAACATGGAGAAATCCTGTCTCTACTAAAAATACAAAATTATCTGGGTGTGGTAGCGAGCACCTATAATCCCAGCTACTCGGGAGGCTGAGACAGGAGAATCGCTTGAACCCGGGATGCAGAGGTTGTGGTGAGCCACAATCACAACATTGCACTCCAGCCTGGGCAACAAGAGTGAAACTAAGTCTCCAAAAAAAAGAGAGAATACATTTGGGGCCAGGTGCGGTAGCTCACCCCTGTAATCCCAGCACCTTGGGAGGCTGAGAGTGGTAGATCACCTGAGGTCAGGAGTTTGAGATCAGCCTGGCCAATATGGTGAAACACCATCTCTACTAAAAATGCAAAAATTAGCTGGGCGTGGTGGTGCGCGCCTGTAATCTCAGCTACTGGGGAGGCTGAGGCAGGAGAATTGTTTGAACCCCAAAGAGTAGATGGGACTACATGTGTGCACCACCACACCCGCTAGTTTTTCTTGTATTTTGTAGAGATGGGGAGGGGTGTCTCTATATTCCCCAGGCTGGCCTTCAACTCCTGGCATCAAGCAATCCTCCTGCCTTGGCCTTCCAAAGTGCTGGGATTACAGGTGTGAGCCACCACACTTGGTTGGGAAACAGGATATTAATTGTTTTTTTGTTTGTTTGCTTGCTTGTTTTTTTTTTTTTTTTTTTTTGAGACAGTTTTACTCTTGTTACCCAGGCTGGAGTGCAATGGCCCGATCTCAGCTCACCGCAACCTCCGCCTCCTGGGTTCAGGCAATTCTCCTGCCTCAGCCTCCTGAGTAGCTGGGATTACAGGCACGCGCCACCATGCCGAGCTAATTTTTTGTATTTTTAGTAGAGACGGGGTTTCACCATGTTGACCAGGATGGTCTCGATCTGTTGACCTCGTGATCCACCCGCCTCAGCCTCCCAATTTGGGATTACAGGCTTGAGCCACCTAGCACAGCCAAGAGTCTTTCTAAGAGACAGCAGATGACACAGACACAGAAGAGAAAGCCTGGGGAAGACGGAGGCAGAGATTGAAGTGATGTCACCGCAAGCACAGGATTGCCCACAGCCACCAGAAGCTGCGAGTGGAAAGGAAGGATTCTCCCCTAGAGCCTCAGAGGGAGCCTCGCCCTGTGGACACCTTGATGGTGCACCTCTGACCTCTAGAACAAATTGCTGTCATGTTAAGCCACTCAGCTGTGGAGATACGTAGGCAGCCCTGGGGCGCTAATACCAGTGGAATGCCAAAATGGAATTCCAAAAACCCAATCGGCTGGCCAGACATGGTGGCTCATGCCTGTAATCCCAGCATTTTGAGAGGCTGAGGCAGGGGGATCAATTGAGGTTGGCAGTTTGAGACTAGCCTGACCAACATGGTGAAATCCTGTCTCTATTAAAAATCCAAAAATGAGCCGGGCGTGATGCCATGAGCCTGTAATCCCAGCTACTCAGGAGGCTGAGGCAGGAGAATCGCTTGAACCCAGGAGGCGAGGGTTGCAGTGAGCTGAGATTGCACTACTGCACTTCAACCTGGGTGACAGAGCAAGACTGTGTCTTAAAAAAAAAAAAAAACTAATCGGGCATGGTGGGAGACACCTGTAGTCCCAGTTATTTGGGAGGCTGAGGCAGGAGAATCACTTGAACCTGGGAGGCAGAGGTTGCAGTGAGCTGAGATCATGCCACTGGACTCCAGCCTCGGTGACAGCGAGGTCCTGCCACAAAAAAAGAAAAGAAAAAGAAAAACTAAAACAAAAAACAAGCAAACACAGGAAACAGTTAACACCTATAGGATCTGGGCAGTGGATCAGGGCAGGTACCCAAAGAGCATCTGGCACAAGTTGTTGGTCCCAGTGTCCAGGTAACCTTGGGTTGTGGAAGGCTCAACCACGTCCTGGTGCTGGTGCTCATCTCTGCCCGCCCTCAGACTCCACACCTTCCTCCAATGGAGATGGTCCTCAGACCCCATGCACTTCCTGAGCCACATCATCCACTCTTACAGGTCTGGTTTTTTTTTTTGAGACAGAGTCTCACTCTGTTGCCCAGGCTGGAGTGCAATGGCGTGATCTTGGCTCACTGCAACCTCCACCTCCCGGGTTCAAGGGATTCTCCTGCCTCAGCCTCCTGAGTAGCTGGGATTACAGGTGTGCGCTACCACGCCCGGCTGATTTTTGTAGTTTTTGTGGAGACGGGGTTTCACCATGTTGGGAAGACCTGACCTCGTGATCCGCCTGCCTTGGCCTCCCAAAGTGCTGGGATTACAGGCCTGAGCCACCGCGCCCAGCCAACTGCATGCCTTTCTAAAGCCATTGCAGTTCTGCGAATCCTCCTGCCGAGGGACTCTCTTTTCCCCCATGTAAATACAAAACAAAACCTTGTATCTGGGTCTTGGCCTTTTTCTTTTTCAAGAGACAGGATCAGATAAAAATAAATAAGAAAACAAAAAAAATAGAAAAAATAAATAAAACTAAAAAAAAGAAAAAGAAAAAAAAAAGAGAGAGAGAGAGAGGGTCTCACTCTGGAGTGCAGTAGGGTGATCTAGCTCACTGCAGCGTCGAACTACTGGGTTCAAGGAATCCTCCTTCCTCAGCCTCCTGAAGTGCTGGGATTAGCAGTGTGAGCCACTGTGCCCAAACTGTATTGTTTTACCATGCATTCAGTCATCCATCCATCCATCCTTTGTATTTGTTGAGACATTTCAAAATTAAGTTTTGACATCAAAACTGATCTTTTTACAGAGGACGCCCCTGGCTATCACATGGGTAGGGTGCCCGCTAAAGCTCTCCTCGTCCCTAGAAGCCAGCCCAGCTGTCCTGTTTGTGTGGTCTTTGTCTGTGAACACCGAGTGGGCAGGTCCAGGCCTGTACAGGTCACCCCTGGATCCCAATGCTGACAGCGGCCAGCTCAGCAGCTCAGGGACCTTGGGATAATGCCAGCAGATGACCTGCTGCCATCTGCTGTGAACAGCCGATGCTGTCTGGAGGCACAAATTGTCCCTCAGTGTCCCCATGAGTTACCCTGAGGCTGACCGCTGAGAGAACAGGTCCAACGCTTCAGCCCCAGTCACCTTCCACCCTCCTCGTTAATTCCCAGAAGTGATGGTCTGGGGCAGCTTGGAGAGACCAGACCCACAGGCTTTTTAAAATAACTGCACCCTTTAATGGCAGGAATACAATTACTGGATTAAGAGACCACAGGAGAAAAGGCAGGTGACATTTCTGGAAGACAGATATGGAGTATAAAAAGGGTGTGAAATAGTCATGCGACGATCATTGTAAAAATACAGTTCATTATATACATATTTGCACCACCAACTCTCAACTCTGAAATAGTATTTACACTTTTGTTACAATCCTGGTTAGAGAACAATTTTTCTTTAAAAGCTCGGCCTAATGGCAAATGAGAATTTCGGGTGAATTCATAGTCCCATGAGGTTCTTAGGCTGAATAGTCCAAGAGGAAGGCTCCAGCTTCTATTTTAACCACAGATTTCGGTTTAAAAAATATTTTTCTTTTACAAAAGAAAATTTTTGAGAAAAAAAAAAACCCACAAAACACTGCCACACTGTGTATTCATACTTATTTTACAAACACTAAGAGCTGCACCCTCTGCTTCAAGGCCAACACTGGTGGCTGAAGACAAATCTCATTAATGATTACTTAAAAAAAAAAAAAAAGACAGAAAGACCAACCAACCAACCTGATCCCAGCGCTGACCCCTCAGGGCTGTGCAGCCCTGCAGGACACCCGCCTCCTGGCCCCAAACTATGAGCTTTTCATTCTCCTCTTTTTGGGGTGGGATAGGAGGAGCCTTGTTCAGCTGCCCTGAGGAGGGAGGGGAAATCCCTTGGCAGGTGACCAGGTCTCCTTATTGTCAGCCATGAAGAGAGGGCCTGCAGCCATGCAGCGGGTCAGGGAGCCGGGCAGATGGAGCCACAAGCGCACACTTCCTGAGGCTGCTCGAGGCCCAGAAGCAAGAGGCCAGCACCCCCTGCATCCATCTCCCAGGCTGTGTCCATGGGTGGGCCTCCTCCCGGGCTCCGTGGGCGAGGCTGGCCATGAGCCAGGGTGGGATTGTGGGGGCAGCACAGGCTCTCCCTCCCCTGCCCTGGCTGCAGGCTTCCTCTCCCTAGGCCCCTTTCTGGAAGTGTCCACAAATCCTACAACGACACACCTCGGAACCCCTGCATCTGCTGGCTTGGGAGAGGAAATCCAAACGCATCAATACCTCGGGCCCTGCAGGTCACACAGTGTGAGGAAGTGCAAGTAAAGCTGAGAAGAAACACTTGGCCAGGAGCCATCCCAGGGCCCCTGCTGTTGGGGCCTGGCGGAGCAGCCACTGCACGGATCCTGGAGCTGTCCGGGGCCTGGCTGCAGCGGGCACAGCGGGTGTGTGGCTTGAGGACCAGGACAGACCTGGTGTAGGGTGAGGAGGGTGTGGCCCCGATGGGACAGGTCGGGTAATACTGACAGAAAACTCGTGCGTGCCCCAGGGGCTGTCTCCCTGAGGTGGCTCTTCAGGGCCACCACACTGGCCCCCACTGCCTGTGTTTGGGTCCAGTTTTCATTCTAGAGGGTTCTGCTGCAGGCTGGGGGTGGGGGAGCATCCACTTGCTCTGGCTGGAGGGTGGTGGAGAGGGCCTGCATGCCAATCCAGGGACAGGAGCAGGCATGCGCCAGAGCCCCCGGAGTGCCACTGACAGCTTTTTCTTTAATACCTTTTTACTGTCACCGTCTCGAGTGGGTTGCCACGCCCCGTACTGAAGAGACAGTGATGGTGCACCCTAGGGTTCCAGAAACACCTGTACCTGCTTCCACACAGGCCCTGCCGCGGTCTGGGTTCTGGGTCTCTTCGGGCACGGGGTGAGGAGCATTCAGTGCCTTCCCAGACACCAACTGCTCCCTTTGTCCTGGAGAAAAGGGGCCATGCTTTGCCCAGAAAACCCACTGGACCTCCAGCAAGGCCGGGCATGAGTCGGTTTGCTCAGCAGGAGCCCGAGAGCCCGCCGCACTGACCAGAACTTAAGATGGTTATATACAATTTATAAGTCTCACAGAAAGTACTACTAAAAAAAAAAAGAGAGAAGCAAAGAAAAAGAAAAGGGAACACCCAGCCTGCCTCTCCTGCCCCCCAAGATCCCCAGCCTGGTGATGCCCTGAATGCAACCCTGGGAAGGGCAGCTGGAGCTGCGGCTCTGGCCGGACACTACTGGCAAAAAGGGGAGGCCGTGGGGTCGAAGCCTTTAAAAACATCCTTCAGGGACGCCGCATCCTGCTCGCCCTCGCGGGCCGGGCTGTTCCCAGCAAATGGGCTTCCTGAGCCTGTCTTGGGTGCCTGCTTCACCGTCCCAAAGAGGGTGGGCACGGGCAGGTTGTGCACCCCAGGCTGGGGTGGGGCACCCTCCGGGGGCGGGGTGGCGGTGGTGGCAGCGGGGGCCGTGGCGGCTTTGGGCCGGGGCCGGTTGTAGCTGTTGTATCTGTCCGTAGGGGTGCCCCCATCGGCACCGGCCTTCCCCGTTTCTGGCTGTTCCAAGGCTGACTTGCGAACAAACGGGGGCTCCTTGGCCTTGGAGGCCGAGCTCTTGCCATTGCCCTCGGCACCCTTGGGCTGGGTACCCGTGTCGGCGGACGGCTCTGCAGCTTTGCCCCCTGCGTTGGGAGTCCTTGGGTCATAGAGGCTTATGCCGCTCAGCACACTGCTCTGCCCGCCCCCTCCACCCTGGCCCAGCCCACCAGCTGCCAGCACACGGGGGTCATAGGGAGCGGTGGCTGGAGGGGAGGCCTCCCCACTTGGGCTGGCGGTGGGAGAGGGCGCCTCAGTGGGGCCAGGCTTGGCAGCCCTGGAGGAAGCTGTGGAGTCTGTGGGTTTCTGCAACCGAGGGTCGGTGGGGGCTTTCCGCACCCGGGGGTCACTGGGTTTGTCGCTGGAGCCAGGGGTGACAGAGGAGCCGGTGGCACTGACCGTCTTGAGGATGCGAGAGAGAAGTTCAAAGTCAGGGAGGTTGGCGCCCTGTGTGCTAGAGTCTGTGGAGGTGCCTGGGCGCTGCCGAGTGTTGGGGGGCCCTGCCGTGGCAGCGCGGTGCAGCCGGGGGTCCAGGGTGGGCATGGACTGCAGGGCGGCAGGCACGGGGGGCACTACATCCTGCTTGGGGACGGGCAGGGGGATCAGGTCCTCGGGATTCCAGAGCACAGTGCGAGCAAAGCTGGGCTTGCTCAGGGTCACGTCCTTCTTGATGTGGCTGAACTGCTGCAGTTGTGACCGTGGGTCCCGCAGCGGGTGCCCAGGGAGTGGGTCCAGGGGAATGTTCACAGCCTTCTCCCGCAGGGCCCGCTCCCCTTCTTCCTCCTCTGCCGGGGGTGGCCCAGATCCCTTGGAACTGCTGGGGCCCACAGGGCTGGAATGAAGGCTGCCTTCGAGCTTGGAGGTGGGCAGGGCGCGGGCCAGCCGAGGATCTGAGGGTCCCGAATCCCCTGGGCCAGACCCACCAGAAGCCTCTGTGTGGCGGGTGAGTCTGGGGTCCCGGCTGAGGCGAGGGTCAGCCAGCCGGCTTCCTGGAGGGTGCCCCTTCTGGAGGCGGGGGTCCCCCAGCCCACTGCTGCTCAGCTCTCCGACTGAAGCGGGGGGTCGGCTGGATGTCTGCTGCCTCAGGGTCTTCAGGATGGAGGTGACACTGCTTCCACCCTCGTCCTCGTCACTTGAGTACCAGTTTCCAGTGTCACCTGGGAAAGAAGAGAGGAGCAGGGAGGGGTGAGTGGTCGCATCTACTGCCTGCCCCTCAGACCCCACAGCAGCCCGCCGGCCAGCAGCTCCTTTGCTTGTGCCTCTCAGAACCTCCTCTCTAAGGCCCCCTCCCCTCAGTGGGCAGCAGAGGAGATGCAGGGAGCCAAGGTGCTACCGTTTACGCTGCGCTCCCCAGCCTCCTCAGCGGCGACACTGCACTAAATGTTACTTTATTTAAATAACTCACAACCACCCAAGAGGTGGTGATACTATTATGCCCATTTGACAGATGTGAAAACAGAGGCACAGTCCCGTCAAATCGGGGTCAGGGCCAGGACTGACTGGGACTCCTAGCCCAGAGTTCTGCTGCCCCTCCCCGCCCACCTCAAGGATAGTTCAGCCCTCACTGTGGCAAGTCCAGCTGTGGGCACCTCTTTCTGGAGGTCCTGGTAGCAGCCACCATTGACTCAGCTCTGGCTAGGTAGGCCTGGGACTCACAGACACTTGCCCCCAAGCCAGCTCGAGATGTCCCTATGTCCCAGGGAAGGGCCGGTGTGGACCAACCACAGCCACCGGCTGTGAAGAGGCAGGGCCAGCTGGGCAGACTCAGACATGGACTCAAGCAAATCCTAGGCCAGCACAGCCTGAGCCACCAGGGGAGCAGCCCTCTTCCTGCTGTCCCACTGGCTCCTGTCAGGGCCACCTGTGGCCTGACTTTAGGATCTAGACACCACTTGTCATTTTACTCCATGTGAACACCACCAAGTCAACCACGCAGCACCTGAGACTCAGTGGCTCGTGACTATGATTATTACTGGTTAATTTCAATGACTATCTCTTGTCTGTTGGCTCCTTGAGAACATGGTCTAGGAAAACAGGGGCTGTGAGGGTCTCCCTAAAGCCTCCTCTGGCAGGGCGCAGGCGGTCAATCCTGCTGGCCACCGCCTCCTCTGGGGATCAGCCCTCCACCCTACTCCATGGGATCAGGGTCTCTTCCAGACCCACAGAGAAAGGCATCCCTGCCTGCCAGTTTTCTCAGAAACATGCAGCAACCCCAGCCCGGCTTCATGGCCCTGGAGAGGGGTCTTCCCTGGCCACGGGCTCCTTCCCGACAGGAAACCCGACCTGGAATACCCCACCACCGCCGCTCCCGGGGCCTGTGCCCCTGCCCCTGGGGCGGACACATGCCTTCCTCATTCTCCCGGTCCTGCTTGCTGCTCTCAGCCAGCCTCCTCGCTCTCTCCTCCTCCTCCTGCTGCTTCTGCTGGATCCTCAGGTACAGGGCCCTCTGGGCTGAGGGCAGGAAGTCAGGGACACCGGCGCCTGGCTTCGACCGGCCTGGGGGCCCTCCCTCAGAGAAGCTGTCGGGCTCCAGAGGGTGCTCAGGGAAGAGGTGCTCCCCAGGCTCCCCTGGCAGCTCTTCGTAGTGCCCGTAGTCCTCTGTGGCAGGGAAGAACCGAGGGTTCATGTCGGGAAGAGCCTCCAGGCGCCAACTCCAGCCCCCCTTGATTGACCCTCACTGCAAACCCACCCCAATGGCGATGGAGAGGACGCACAGCTTGCCCCTGCCTGCCCACCCCAGGTCTCAGCGGAAAGGAGCCGCCAATGGGTAGCCCTGCCTATGTGAAGAATGAGGTTCACAGAGAGGGTTGAGTGATGGGGGTGAACGCTCATGAGGTGGAAACAGGATGGAACATCAGATGCATGTTTATAAAATATGAGAAGAAAGCTTTGAAAAGACAGAAACAGTCCCTCTGGGAGGTAGATTCTGGAGAGGCCAGGAGTGGAACCTGCACTCTTTCCTGTACTTAATGATCTTGGATGGACAGGAGTTTCTAACAATCGGTAAGGAAACACCGTGCATCTCACAGTGAACTCAACCACATTCAACACCAAAAGCCAGGAAAAGAGAATAAAATGGGCCAAAGTGTTGCTCTGGCCGCAAGTCAACAGAGGCTCCAGAGTGCCTCCCCGCCCGCTGCACAGCATCAGGAGGCGTCTCAGGAAGCACGGGGCCAGGGCTCGGCCTCCACTCCTGCAGGGTAAGCACGGGCACCGGCCACCTCACCCACGCACTCCCCCAGTGCCTGAGCCAAGAGCTGTGGGCAGCGGCACACGCTGACGTGGGGACGCAGCAGGTGTGGAGGGGAGGGCAGGCTCGGCGACACCTTCCTTCATGTTGTGTGTGTGTGTGACAGATGTGAGCATGGGAGACAGCGAGTCACCAAGGCAGGGGCAGTCTGGAATCAGTGCTGCCCCACAGAACGCTCTGCAGTGATGGAAATGGTCTAGATCTGCAGGGCGACATGAGGCCGCCTCCATCCTCCTGCGGCAGCTGAGCATTTGAAACGTGGTGCCTACAAAGTGCACCTGTAGCTTAGCCTTCATTAATTTCAACTTCATCATGTGAACCTGATGGGTCAGCCTGCTCTATGACACATCCGGCGCAGAGCTGGGACCCACTCCATGAACCAGACAGCCGAGGATCCCCCTTCACGCACAGTCTGTGCACACACCAGAAACCACTGACCGCACACGTCAGAGGAGGGTTTTATGGAACGCAATTATTCTAGAGACACCTACTCCTAACAGCGTGACCGACTTCTGGTTCCCCGCCAGCAGAGCTTTTCCCATGTACCTTTCAGACGCATTTGTTAAAGGGGGATAAGCTGAGGGAACCCCAGTACCTCCCGGTGGCAGCCTGTTTTTCTCGTCTTTCTAAAGCACCCATTTTCACCCAAGTACCTGCGCTCCCACGCACCACCTAAAGCCAAAGACATTTACATTTTGATCTCCAGCATAAGCCTCTCCCTGATGCCCCTGAAACCACCCCTCAAAATTACCATATGGCTGTCAGATGGGCAGGCACCCTGCAGTGACTATGCCCCATGTACAGCACCCTATCCTCAATGCTGTTCCTGCCCGCCTTGCCAAACACACACAGGGCTCACACTGGCCCATGGCACCACTCCCAAACCTTGAAGCCCTGCCCTGTATTCCAGCGACTGCTCTGCTGCCTCTGCCCAGGACAGCCACCAGCAGCTACCCCAGGTCCACACAGCATTCCCCACCCACTGCCCTCAGAGGTCCCATCATTCCTCACATCGTGAGTGCTGCTTTACTTCTCACAAAAGAGAGACTTCTGTGACCAGCCCCATGGAGGCACTGAACCTTGTGGCCCACTCCCATGGTACCCCGCCTTTTCTTCTAACAATGGCCAATGCTGAAAGGAGCTAACTCCTCTATCTACACGCTTGCCACCTGCCTTGTTCTACCAAGATGCAACTGAGCAAGGACAGTGGTGGCCTCCCGTGCCTGGCCCTCCTCCTCTGGAGGGCTGTATACCGCATCTCCTATGGCTGCAGCGGCTTCATCTAATTCCCTCTGCTCACTGGATGTTTGTTACAAATGCAAAAGAAAGGCAAGAAGGAAGGAAAACGGCCAGTAATGAGGACAGAACCCAGAGTCCTGGGGTGGACACTGGCAGCTCCAAGCCGAGAACTGTCTGGAAGGAGGTGGCTTTGCTAGGCCACTACTAACTGAGTCCTCTCAGCCTCACACCTTTGTACACTCTCTTCCCTCTAACTTCCCACACTTCCGATTCCAGAAAGAGCTTGCAAAATTAAAAAAATCTATACTGATAATAAACAGGATACTCCTTTCTCCCTCAACAGAATAATGAATCCTATGTCACTGAAAACAGTCAACTGTTAAATGGGACACAGATGGAGTCTGGAGTCATGCTTTCAAAGAGACTTGCATGAAGAGAAATCACATCTCCCCAACTCTACTGTACTGTGCAAAGCCCACAGCCCCAGGCAGCCATGCCTGGAGCCCTGCATACCTGCATCCCCAAGGAGTCCCGGCTCCATCTCCATGCCCTCCTGCTGCTGGTAGAAGTTTTCATAGAAGTTCTGGGCTGGCGGGATGGGGGGCAGCATTCCAGAATGTGGGGAGTCTCCAGGACCGTAGGGCATCATTGGGGGGCCACCAGGGCCCATGGGTGGACCAGGATTCATGCCAGGGCCCATTGGCATGTCGGGGTGCATGTCAGGGTGCATGTCAGGGTGCATGTCAGGGTGCATATCGGGGTGCATGTCCGGGTGCATGTCAGGGTGCATTGGACCACCCATTGGCCCAGGGGGTCCCATGTTGGGCCCAGGGCCCATTGGCCCTGGAGGTCCACCAGGTCCAGGGAACCTAGGAGAGGAAAAAGGCACCTGTGAGAGAAGCTGCAGAGGAGCGCAGTGGCCAGAGACCAGGACTCCCACAGCTAGGGCGAGAGGCAAGACCCTGTCCCAGCTAGGCTTGCCCTGACAACAGAAGCCTGGCTAGGCCCAGGACAGCACGCCCTGGCCTGCCACAGGAGCCCAGGGCACTCACCTTACACCCAGCTTCTCAGCCAGCTGTCCCGTGGGCCGTACCACAATCTCAAACAAGGAGGGGATCTTCTTGTTGTACATGTCCTGCTGCTGCAGCTGCTGCGGGGACAGGGGCTCGTGCACCGGCATGGGCATCTGAGGGGGCCCTGGCGGCGGGGGCGGAGGAGGGGGCGGGGGTGGGGGGCCACCCTGCATGGGCCTGCCATTGGGAGAGGTGGAGCCTGCGGGCCCGGGGGCCGAGGGGGGGGGGGTAGGAGGCCCACACCAGGGGGTGGTTTGGGCAGGGGGTTGATGCCCTGCTTCTTCAGTTCCTCCACCTCCTTCTCATCCTCGGCACCTGCTTCTGCATCATCAGCCAACATCTGCAGGTGAGACAGAACGAAAGAAGGTGTGGACAGGGGTTGGGCTGGAAACACCTCTCCAGCACTGAGAGCTGAAGTTTATGAGAAAAAGTCTGCAATACAAGGACTTTGAGATCTTAAGGCATAAAGCGAATGACCACTATGGCTCTGTAACAAACATTACCACTAGTCACCTCTGTTCCACTCTTGGGGACCAGCTAGCAAGGGGCGCTATTCCTGTTCGGTGGCAAAATACACATAACAAAGTATACTGTTTAACCATTTAAAGTGAACTGCCGGGCTTGGGGGCTCACGTCTGCAATCCCAGCACGTTGAGAGGCTGAGGTGAGCAAATCACTTGAGGCCAGGAGTTCAAGACCAGTCTAGCCAACATGGCAAAACCCCGTCACTACTAAAAATACAAAAATTAGCTGGGTAGTATATGCCTGTAGTCTCAGCTACTCAGGAGGCTGAGGCAGGAGAATCATTTGAACCTGGGAGGCAGAGGCTGCAGTGAGCCGAGATCGCACCACTGCACTCTAGCATGGGCAAAAGAGGAGACTTTGTCTCAAAAATAAACAAATAAGGCCAGGTGTGGTGGCTGACGCCTGTAACCCCAGCACTTTGGGAGGCTGAAGCAGGCAGTTCATCTGAGGTGGGGAGTTCCAGGCCAGCTTGACCAACATGGTGAAACCCCATCTCTACTAAAAATACAAAATTATTAGCTGGGTGTGGTGGTGGGCACCTTTAATCCCAGCTACTTAGGAGGCTGAGACAGGAGAATCGCTTGAACCTAGGAGGCAGAGGTTGCAGTGAGCCGAGACTGCGCCACTGCACTCCAGCCTGGGTGACAGAGCCAGACTCTGTCTCAAAAATAAAATAGGCCGAGCACAGTGGCTCACGCCTGTAATTCCAGCACTTTGGGAGGCCGAGATGGGTGGATCAGAAGGTCAGGAGTTGGAGACCAGTCTGGCCAACAGGGTGAAACCCTCATCTCTACTAAAAACACAAAAGTTAGCCTACCGTGGTGGTGCACATCTGTAATCTCAGCTAAGGAGGCTGAAGCAGGAGAACTGCTTGAACCCAAGAGGCTGAGGCTGCAGTGAGCGGAGATCATGCCACTGCACTCCAGCCTGGGCGACAGAGCAAGACTCTGTCTCAAAAAATAAATAAACCAAACAAATAAAAATTTGAAAAATATAGTGCATGATTAATGCAGCCACCACCTTTACCTAGTTCTAGGACATTTTCATCACCCCCAAAAGAGACCATGTACCCACTAAGCAATCACTACCTGCCCCCTGCCTGCTGCCCCCTGCCCCCAGCCCCTGAGAGCCACTCTCCTTCTGGTCTCTGTGGACCTGCCCCTGCTGGATGGCTCCTGCAAACAGACTCACATGGGGAGAAGACTCTGAGAGCACATGCCTGTTTCTTCCAGGCGCCCTCACACCCGTTCCCATGGCTGAGTTTGCCTGTGTCTGTTCACTGCAGTAAAATCTTGGCTCTGAGTCCCCCAGCAAGTTGCTCTGGGTCATCTTGGGGACCCCAGCACAGATCCCTTAGTGGGCCCTAACACTTATCCTAACAGGGTCAGAATAAACTAGTCTTGCCTCTCTGCCTGGGAGCACCAGGGGTGACAGAAACAGGACCCCCTGGTGGGGATTATGCACTCACAACTTTTGTTTCCCGTAGCCATTAGCAGCAGTACGTGGACCCTGGAACTCCAGGCTCCAGCAAGAATGTGGCTTCATGGAGGAGGGGTAGAAATAGCACAGTGGAACCCCTCTGTCCTTCTGAGCCCTGCTACTCCAGGTGTGGTCAGCGTGTGAACCAGCAGCGCAGGGGGACCCACAGAGGTGGAATCTGCATTCTGCCCTCGGAGTGTGGGCAACACCACCTGAGATGAGTCTTGCTGAGGGAGCCCAGAGCATTGCGCCGGTTCCCAGCACTGCTGTCAGCTCACTTCCTCCTGGCCCAAAGGCCCTTCCTCAACTGTGTGTGCCACTGTGGCTTGCGCTGCCTCTGCTACCCTGCACCTCCTCCTCCTCAGTCCCGACTGTTGCACACCCTGAGGCCGCCAGGCTCACCTCCTCACAGAGCCTCCTGAACAGCTGCCTCATGAATAGAGCCCTGCTAGAGTCCTGGACTCCCGCACTTGCTGTGCATGGCCTGACCCCCATGTGTCATCAGCATCTGCCCAAGGACCTACTTGCGCCCTCAGTGCCTGTCACAGACAAGGCACAGAGAGTGATGGAGTGAACGGCTAAGCATGCAACACAAACCAGTGCACGCTGCCCTGCACTCCCTGGCCCCAGAGGTTGGGTCCAGTGCAGGGGGTAAAGCTCAGGCCCTGACTGGCTGACTCCACCATGGAGTCAGCTGCAGAGTCAACCCAAACTGCCCACTGGTCCTTCGAGCACAGATCCCAGGGAGGGCACCTCTGTCCCCGCCCCCTTCACCAACAAAGACAAGCACCACCAGCTGAGACCACTAGCACCCCGCTGGATGCCAAAACCTCTCTAGCCAAGACAGACTTTCAGTGGTCAGAGGAGTTTCCAAAAGTCAGCCACCTTCTGCAAGCAAAAAGTGACACTAGTACGGGTACAGAGGCATGTGGGCTGAGCCCCATCAGGCCACGTGAATAAGCTCCAGGTTACCACATTAAGCTTTTGCCCCGAACTGGGAACAACTCAAATGTCCGTCAACAGATGCCTGGATGAACAAACTTAATCACCCACTGAGTGGGGCACTACACAGCCACAAATGGTAATGAACTGGTACTTACAGTAACACGGGGAGATCTCAAAGGCTTCATACCAAGTGCAAGAAGCCAGATGCAGTGTGCGCACACACAAACCCTTAAAGGCTGTCTACCTCACAATTCTATTTATATGACTTCCTTGAAAACGCTAAACCACAAGACAGACTCTGATCCACGGTTGCCAGGCACTGGAGATGTGGGGAGGCATTTACTATAAAGAACACAGCAGTTTCTGGGGTGACAGAATGGGTTTCCTACATCCATCTAGTGAGGTGCTGACATGACTCAACATCTCTGTCAAAACTCATAGAACTAGATGGCTGGGTGCAGTGGCTAATGCCTATAATCCCAGCACTTTGTGAGGCCGAGGTTGGGAAATCACTTGAGGTCAGGAGTTCGAGACCAGCCCAGCCAACAAGGTGAAACCTAGTCTCTACTAAAAATACAAAAACTAGGCTAGGCATGGTGGTTCATGCCTGTAATCCCAACACTTTGGGAGGTTAAGGTGGGTGGATCACCCAAGGTCAGGAGTTCGAGCTGACCAACATGGAAAAACCCTGTCTCTACTAAAAGTACAAAATTAGCCAGGTGTGGTGGTGTGTGTCTATAATCCCAGCTACCTGGGAGGCTGAGGCATGGGAATCGCTTGAACCCGGAAGGTGAAGGCTGCAGTGAGCTGAGGTTGCGATAAGCCCAGACTGCGCCACTGCACTCCAGCCTGGGCGACAGAGTGAGACTGTCTCAAAAACAACAATAAAAAAAATAAAAAAAAAAAAACACCCATAGAACTATATACTAAATAGGGAGAATTTTACTGGAAATAAACTGTGCTTAAGAAACCTGACTAAATGAAACCTGTGTGTAACTGAGGTACTGAAGATAAAGGTATGACATACCCACTTCACTGTAAAGTGGATCAAGAAAAAAAGATGGGCTGGGCACGGTGGCTCACACCTGTAATCCCAGCACTTTCGGAGGCTGAATCATGAGGTCAAGAGATCGAGACCATCCTGGTCAACATGGTGAAACCCCGTCTCTACTAAAAATACAAAAAAATTAGCTGGGCATGGTGGTGCGTGCCTGTAATCCCAGCTACTCAGGAGGCTGAGGCAGAACTGCCTGAACCCAGGAGGCGGAGGCTGCAGTGAGCCGAGATGGCGCCATTGTACTCCAGCCTGGGTAACAAGAGCGAAACTCCGTCTCAAAAAAAAAAAAAACAACACTTATAGCTATAATGCCAAGAGCTGCTTAAAGCACTCAGATATTTAGAAGATATGAATTTTCAGGGACGAGGTCTCTGTGCTTATTCCCAAGCAGAAACCTACAATCCTCTAACTTTGGCAAACATCAAAAGTTGTGATTTCAGAAAACATTTCTTGACATAGAATTTACTTTTAATGAGCTCGAAAGTACGATTATATTTGATCTCCGTCGGCATAGGAAGTGCCTATGAAGCCGACGGAGATCAAATGTAATCTCAATGGCACTTTAAAAAAAAATTTTTTTCTAGCCATTGAAACTACACACATGGTGAAAACCCATCTCTACTAAAAATACAAAAATCAGCTGGGCATGGTGGCAGGCACCTGTAATCCCAACTACTCAAGAGGCTGAGATAGGAGAATCATTTGAACCTGGGAGGTGGAAATTGCAGTGAACTGAGATCACACCATTGCACTCCAGCCTGGGTAACAAGAGCGAAACTCCGTCTCAAAAAAAAAAATTTAATTTCATCTGTTTCTTTCTTTCTTTTTTTTTTTTTGAGACAGAGTTTCACTCTTGTTACCCAGGCTGGAGTGCAATGGCGCGATCTTGGCTCGCAACCTCCGCCTCCTGGGTTCAGGCAAATTCTCCTGCCTCAGCCTCCTGAGTAGCTGGGATTACAGGCGCGTGCCACCATGCCCAGCTAATTTTTTGTATTTTCAGTAGAGATGGGGTTTCACCTTGTTGACCAGGATGGTCTCGATCTCTTGACCTCGTGATCCACCTGCCTCGGCCTCCCAAAGTGCTGGGATTACAGGCGTGAGCCACCGCGCCCGACCTCACCTGTTTCTTTTTACGTTTTTTTTTTTTTAAATGTGGCTACTGGAAATTTTTAAATGAATGAAGTAACTCTGGTGCTCCTACAGGCAGCACTGTCCTGGAGCACAAACGTGGAGCCTCCAGCAGGGGGCAGTCCTCAGTCAGAGATTGTTGAGTACTCTCAAAAGTCAGGTCACTCTGACCATTGCTTCCCGAATCAAACAGCTCAGACTCCAGGCACATACTGATTACAAAACCCTAGGGCAGACCCGGTGCGGTGGCTCACGCCTGTAATCCCAGCACTTTGGGAGGCTGAGGCAGACAGATCATGCGGTTAAGAAATCGAGACGATCCTGGCCAACATGGTGAAACTCCTTTTCTACTAAAATACAAAAATGAGCTGGGCTTGGTGGCGGGTGCCTGTAGTCCCAGCTACTCGGGAAGGTTAGGCAGGATAATCACCTGAACCTGGGAGGCAGAGGTTGCAGTGAGCCGAGATTGCACCACTGCACTCCAGCCTGGGTGAGAGAGTGAGACTCCATCTCAAAAAACAAAACAAAACAAACAAAAAATCCCCAGGGCAGCAGGCTCCCCAGAGGGACTGGCCTTTTCCTACAGACGCCCTGCCAATAGGGATTGGAGTTCTCCTATGTCTGCTTGCACCGGGCTTTCCCTGCACCCCTCACAACCATTAACAAGACAGTCATTGACGGATGGACTCTGGAAGCTGGCAGATGTGCTGATGCCTTGATCCTTTCCATTCTCAAAACACAGCCAATCTCCTAGAACCTTCCGTGAACTAGAAGGCAGGCAGGAAAGCTTCATTATAAAAGACACTGGTTCCTGCACCCGCTCATCCCCAGATGAAATGGGAAACCTAGGACTGGAATTTGGGTATTTAACCCTAACCCAAAGTCCTCAGCCAGACTCCTCAGGGAGGACAACGAATGCCAGGATGAGTTTCAAATGTCACCCATCTAGTGGGGAAGCCCTGACACCTCCCCGGAGGGAGCCCCCTCTTTAGAGATCCCTAGCTTCTCTCTACTTTCTCTAATGCATAATGGGGGGCCCTGAGAGTTGCACAGAAATGTTTGACTTTTCCACCAAAATACAACCCTTGCCTCTTCTTTGTATATCTTTGGTTTTTTTGTGTCTTTTTTGAGATAGGGTCTTGCTCCATGACCCAGGCTGGAGTGCAGTGGAATGATCATGGCTCACTGTGGCCTGGATCTCCTAGACTCAAGAGATCCTCCCACCTCAGCCTCCCAAGCAGCTGGGACTGCAGGCATCCACCACCACACTTGGCCATTTTTTTTTTTTTTTTTTGAGACGGAATCTCGCTCTGTTGCCAGGCACCAGGCTGGAGTGCAGTGGCACAATCTCGGCTCACTGCAACCTCCGCCTCCTGGGTTCAAACAATTCTCCTGCCTCGGCTTCCCGAGTAGCTGGGACTACAGGCGTGCGCCACCATGCCCAGCTGATTTTTATATTTTAGTAGAGACGCAGTTTCATCATGTTGGCCAGGATGAACTCAATCACTTGACCTTGTGATCCGCCTGCCTCAGTCTCCCAAAGTGTTGGGATTACAGGTGTAAGCCACGGCGCCCAGCGGCCAATTTTTTTTTTTTTTTGGAGACAGAGTATCTCACTGTGTTGCCCAGACTGTAGTGCAGTGGTGCAATCTTGGCTCAATGGCAATTTCCGCCTCCTTGGTTCAAGCGATTCTCCTGCCTCAGCCTCCCGAGTACCTGGGACTACAGGCATGTGCCACCATGACCTGCTAATTTTTGTATTTTAGTAGAGATGAGGTTTCACCATGTTGGCCGGGATCGTCTCGATTTCTTAACCGCATGAACTGTCCACGTCGGCCCCCCAAAGTGTTGGGATCACAGGTGTGAGCCACTGCACCCGGCCTGCATTTTTTTTTGAGACAGAGTCTCATTCTGTTGCACAGGCTGGATGGAGTGCAGGAGTGCAATCTCAGCTCACTGCACCCTCTGCCTCCTGAGTAGTTGTGACTACAAGCATGTGCCACCACGCCTGGGTAATTTTTATACTTCTAGTAGTGATGGGGTTTTGCCATGTTGGCTAGGCTGGTCCTGAAAACTTGGCCTCAGGTGATCTGCCAGCCTCAGCCTCCCAAAATGCTGGGATTACAGGTGTGAGCCACTGTGCCCAGCCCATCCAATTTTTTAAATTTTTAGCAGAAACAAGGTCTCAGGTCTCACTACATACCTAGGCTGGTCTCAAACTCTTGAGCTCACGCGATCCTCCCACTTCAGCCTCCCAAAGTGCTGGGGTTACAGGTGATTTGTATATATTTGTATACTGTGGGCTCTCTCTAAATGACGGCTAAGAGATCACAATCCATGCTTGGAAGTACATCAGGCAGTATTCCTTTCATTTGGCCTTTTCCCTGGGGAAACAGCAGCAGCCTGTCCTGGCCTAACACAAGACACGTGCTCACCTTAACTACCTGCAGAAGAGAACACAGTCCCCATGTCCTCCTTAGAATGGCCCAACTCCAATAAACTCAGCTGGGCACTACAGAGGCTGGACAGGCAGGCTACAGCACTGAGGCCTGGGTGCACATGTCCCAGTTCCTGTGAGCCCTGGGACCCCCGGACCTTACCTTATCCAAGAGCTCCCTGGTCTCTTCGGTCAGAGGGTCGTGGGAAAACATGCAGTCGTCACCATTGATGCAGTTCCCCGTGGTGTGGTACAGCTTACACGGGAAATCGCGTTCATGCAAATTAAGGTAAATGCTTCACCTCACAGAACCCTCCCGAAGGCAGAATCCAATTCCCTTTGTTTTGGAGATGAGAAAACTGAACCCAGAGAGGTGAGGGTAGGTGCTCAGGGCTGCTCAGTGGGTTGGCAGCAGACCCATGGAGAGACCCCGGCACTCCAGACTGCAGACCACTTCCTGCCCCATCACACTGGCTGGGGGCTTCGTCCTCAGATTGTCAATCAGACCGAGGAAGTTAAACGACTTGCCCAAGGTATAAAAGCCCCGGAAGAATCTCGGGTGATGGTATGGGCTAGTCTTGGGAGCCTTCAGAAGACAAAACAGGCACCATGTGCATCTCCATTTACTCCCTGGAAGGAGAGGAAAGGCAGAGCCCTCTGAGGGCAGACGTGAGGGTTAGATGAGATGGAGACTCACAGAAAGCTGTTGGCACAGAGAGAGAAAGCACAGCAAAGGAAGGTCAGCTGTTACTACCATCAAGGAACAGAGAAGTTCTGCACCTCGTTCAGGCCAGACGCTGGCACCAAAGGATATCGTGCATATAGGGGCAGTTCTCGGCTCTGGCGCAAAATCCAGTGATGTAAAACTTGCACAGTTCTCGCTTCTTTGGGAGTTCAATGTCATGGCTAAAATTACAGTGGTCTCCCTAGAAGAGAAGCAATGAAAACGTAAGGCGGTGATGTGGGGAGCTCTCGCTTACTTCTATCTGCACTGCGAAGAAATGCTGTCACTGCTGGTGCATGGAGCGGCCAGGGAAAGAAACAAATTCCCCCTGGGAAAGGAAGACAGGTCTAGGAAGCACAGGTGCCAGAGGCTGTTGCCCACAGGGTCTCACTCTGTTGCCCGGGCTGGAGCACAGCGGCACAATCACGGCTCACTGCAGCCTCGCCACATGGGCTCAGGTGATCCTCCCACAGCTAGGACTACAGGCCCACACCACCAAGCCAGCTAGTATGTTTTGAAATTTTTTGTTCAGACAGCATCTCACTATGCTGCCCAAGGTGGTCTGAAACTCCTGGGTTCAAGTGATCTTCCCACCCTGGCCTCCCAAAGTGCTGGGATTATAGGCATGAGCCACCAAGACTGGTCACTTCCTGAATTTAAAGAAAATCCTTTTGCCCATTTCTCTTCCTCCTAGCACCTGGATGTGATGCCATGAGGCACAGCAGCCATCATGTAACCATGAGGACAAAAGCCACATTTTTTTTTTTTTTTGAGATGAAGTTTTACTCTCATTGCCCAGGCTGGAATGGAATGGTGTGATCTTGGCTCACTGTAACCTCCGCCTCCTGGGTTCAAGCGATTCTCCTGCCTCAGTCTCCCGAGTAAGTGGGACTACAGGCATGAGCCACCACACCCAGCTAATTCTGTATTTTTAGTAGTGACAGGGTTTCTCCATGTTAGTCAGGCTAGTCTCGAACTCCTGACCTCAAGTGATCTGCAAGCCTCAGCCTCCCAAAGTACTGGGATTACAGGTTTGAGCCACCATGCCCAGCCAAAAGCCACAGGTTTAAAGATGGCAGAATAGCAAGCAGGAAGGAACCTAGATCCCCAGGGTGCCCCTGACCACTGCACTGTCAGGTACAGCCCACCCAGCTCTGGAGTCCTGGTTCTGAGAAACAAATATCTATATGTTGAAGCCAATAGAGTTAAGGTTTCCTTTATTTCCAGCTGAACACAATCAACAACACAACACGTGGGTGAAATCCAGAATTGTGTTTTCCACCCCTCATCATTTGGTCCTCAGGAATCACTCACCAGCACTGTGAACTGAAGACAGAGCTGATCCATCCCCCTAACTCTTAGAAATGCCTATTCTCTCTCTCTCTTTTTTTTTTGAGACAGTTTTGCTCTGGTCACCCAGGCTGGAATACAATGGCATGATTGTGGCTCACTGCAACCTCTGCTTCCCAGGTTCAAGTGATTCTCCTGCCTCAGCTTCCCAAGTAGCTGAGATTACAGGCGCCCGCCAGCAAACCCAGCTAATTTTTGTATTTTTAGTAGAGATGAGGTTTCACAATGTTGGCCAGAATGGTCTCGAACTCCTTACTTCAGGTGATCCACCCGTCTTGGCCTCCCAAAGTGCAGGGATTACAAGCGTGAGCCACTGCGCCCAGCCTTTCTTTTTTCTCACACAGGTTCTCACTCTGCCACCCAGGCTGAAGTGCAGTGGCGCAATCACAGATCATTGCTGCCTTGATCTCCCAGGCTCAAGAGATCCTCCTGCCTCAGACTCCTTAGACGCTGGGACTATAAGCAGACGCCACCAAACTGGGCTTTTTCAATTTTTTTTTAAAAGATGGGGGTCTCATTATGTTGCCCACAGTGTAGTCATTTATTTTTGCCTATATGTATTTTATGTTTCTTAAAGGAATATGAATTGTAACTGAATAAGAAATACTGGCCAGGCACAGTGGCTCAAACCCGTAATCCCAGTACTTCGGGAGGCCAACGCAGGTGGATCACCTGGAGTCAGGAGTTTGAGACCAGCCTGGCCAACATGGCGAAGCCCTGTCTCCACTAAAAATACAAATATCAGCCAGGTGTGGTGGCGTGAGTCTATAGTCCCAGCTACTTGGGAGGTTGAGGCATGAGAACTTTGATCCCAAGAGGCACAAGTTGCAGTGAGCTGAGTTCACGCCACTGCACTCCAGCCTGGGCAACAGAGTGAGACTCGATCTCTAAGGAAAAAAAACCTATTTTATACACAACATTATTTGTTTGAGGCACCTGTTTCTTCCCAAGACAGTTGCAGGGGTGCAGTGTGTCCTTAGAGTACATCCGCTGGTGCCTGTTGCTGCCTTAATGCTGGGATAAGAAGCTGGTGGCTGAACTAACTCTGGGTTATTACACTTGTTTCCTTCAGAACTCTGGTCTGTCTTCTGACACTGAACTCTGCTGTGAAGTCCAAAGTTAATCTCATCTTCTTCCCCCTTCTATCTGGATGCTTTAATCATTCCCTCCGAAATCCTGAAGCTCAGTAACTTAACTAGGACAAGCGGCATCTCTGCATTCACATCAACCTTCATTATTACATTTCAGGCTATATGGTTGAAAATTTTGGCCAAAAAATTCCCTTAAAACCAAAACCACTCATCTTGTTGTGGGTCCTCCTCATTCTGAAAAGTAACCAGAGTCTTTCAGGCCCCCAGGCAGCTCTCAGCACCAGCAAAGTGTCCACAAGGACAAGGACCACACAGTCACTCCCACCCACCCTACCACAGCTGCAGAACATTCTGGAAGCCCCATGTCCTCTGGGAGCTGCTGGCCTCCTAGAGGCACCCAGGAGCTTTCAGGGCTCCTTACCCAGGTGCAGCGCCCTTCCACGAAGTACTTGCAGATGACTTTGCCTTTCTTGTCTGACTGCTGGTGGGGCTTGTCATGGTCACGACTCCGGTAGCTTCCACCACCACCGTCCTGCAGCAGACAGTGGATGTGAAGGGGGGTGAAAGGGAAGGGTGGAGATGGGATCGGGGTTAATGAGAAGCATGGGAGAGGGGGATGAGGAATCCCTTAAGAGCTCATAAGAGCATCGATGGGCAGGCTGCATCTAACACTGAGGCTGTGTGCGCATTTGAGCCCCACGGTTTGGGGTGTTGGTGCCTAGCTAGGAAAAGCTCTAGCGCCTGGAGCTGTTAGCCACTGAAGCCTCAAGTTCCACACAGCTGTGGAGGAACATGTCAACACACCTAGAGGTGCCGGCATGGGCCTCCTTGCAAAACCCTCCAGGCCTAACAGGATCCTTCATCTAGAACCTTCTGAACCTCAGAGATGTGTTCGGTATGGCTGCAGGGTGCAGGTGCTAATGACATGGTTTGAAACACAGAGGGTCTCAGCAGCATGCATCTGTCCAGGATAACACTAGTCATCGCTGGTTATGCTGGTTAACGCTGGCCAGACCTTTGGGAGGTGGCTGATGGCAGCAAGGGGACAGGATCAGCTTTACAAAAGGACTCATTAAAGGGAAAAAAAACTAAGAAGGGACCTTGGCCCAAACATCAGATCAGAGTGGAGTCAACTCACGCCCATGTCATCGTCATAGAAGTCTTCATCATCATTCATTCCGCCCTTGTTCATCCCTCCTCGGCTGCCACCTCGGCCTCGGCCCCGGCCCATCCCTTTCCCTCGACCTCGGGAGCCCCTGCCACGGCCTCGGCTTAGCCCTGTGGAGGGAAGATGATGTACAACCTGACCCCCCGCCCCTGCCCCGACTCAATTCTAGCAGCTGCTGGAATCCCTGCCCCGCCCAACGTGTCCCCTCCAGGACCCTGCCTACCTCGGCCACGGCCATCCTTAGAGCGGCGGTACTGGTTTAGTTCCTTGGAGTACTCATCATAGTCATCATCTCCCATTGGCTCCTCACTCTCTCCATACTGGAATCCGCAGAGGAGGGCAGGACAGCGTTAGATAGGGAACCACGTCCCCACCTACACACTGCCCCTTTCTGAAGGACAGTGACCACCCAGGGGACTCACACAGGAACCTGCCACCACACAACCTGACAGCAGGTGGTCCCAATCCTTCCCCCTGCAGTCTTCACTCTGAAAACCTGACCCAATAAACCCAGCACAGCTGCTCCCTACATAACACATCCCTGTGTGGCTCCAAGAGGGAGTGGGCAGCGGCTGTGGACTGGTGTGGAAGGCCTGTTGGTAGGACCAGGTTGGCAGGTGCAGTGCACCCGCTACTCCTCCTCCTGGATGGGGGCATGGATGGGGGCAGGTATAAATGGCCATGTGCCTGGCTGGCCAGGTAAAAAATGTCTCTAGAGGACTTTCAGGAAACTTGGCTCTAGTGACGGGATGTTTTTCACAGTACATCTTGTGATACCTTTTCTTTTTCTTTCTTGAGACAGGGTTTCACAATATTGGCCAGGCTGGTCTTGAACTCCTGACCTTGTGATCCACCCGCCTCAGCCTCCCAAAGTGTTGGGATTACAGGTGTGAGCCACCGCACCTGGCCTTTTTTTTTTCTTCTGTTTTTAGAGACAGGGTTTCTTCATGTTGGTCAGGCTGGTCTCAAACTCCCAACCTCAAGTGATCCACCCGCCTCGGCCTCCCAAAGTGCTGGGATTATAGGCGTGAGCCACCACGCCCAGCCCCTTTTTTTTTTTTTTTGAGACTGAGTCTTGCTCTGTTGCCCAGGCTGGAGTGCAGTGGGCACAATCTCGGCTTACTGTAACCTCCGCCTCCCAGGTGAAAGTGATTCTCCTGCCTCAGCCTCCCAAGTAGCTGGGATTACAGGCGTGTGCCACCACGCCTGGCTAATTTTTTGTGTTTTTAGTAGAGAAGGAGTTTTACTATGTTAGCCAGGATGGTCTCGATCTCCTGACCTTGTGATCCGCCAGCCTTGGCCTCCCAAAGTACTAGGATTACAGGCATGAGCTACCACACCTGGTCAATGTTTTTTGCTTTAAACCACATGAAGGTTTTATCTATTCCAAAATGATAAACATTTTAAACACATACATCTGCCCTCTGAGGCTTTCTTTCCTTCAGAAGGGCCATGTGTCTTCCTACCTTAGCCTCACAGCCTCTATCAGCACTACTCATGGCCCAGAGAACCCACCAGCCTCACCCTGACATCCCCAGGACCAGAGGAAAGCTTACGTCCATCTCTTCCTCGTAGAAATCCTCTTCGTCCTCTGGGTGGTCTCCTCCCACGCCTCTGCCCCTGCCTCGGCTGCCTCTGCCCATGCCACGGCCTCGTGATCCTCCACGGCTTCCTCGGCCCCTGTAGCCCCGGCCCCGGCCTCGGCTGCCTGCATGGAGATTCAGACAGTGAGCCTCCAGTGGGAGCAGATGCCACCAGCAAGAAAGAAGACAACCAACTTTTTGCTCCCGAAGTCAATCACTTCAGCCTCCTCCTCTTCCAAGAAGCCTTCCCAGATGCCCCTGGCAGGCTACTGGACCCCTGGTTCTCTCAACGGGGGCCCTTCAGCACGCTGGACACATAGCTGCTCCAGTCCTCACTCCCCTTCCTCACAGGGACTTGTCCACTTAGAGCTGCACTGTCCAATATGACAAACATCAGCCCACAGGCTAATAAGCACCTAATGTGGCAGGTCCAAACTACAAGATGCTAGCCTTGAAGTCTGACAAGACTGGCCCTGTAGTTTGGACTTGTAATTTAGACAAGAGTCCAAAACATACACGGGACTCCAAAGACTCAGTTTTTTTTTTTTTTTTTTAAATGGGGGGCCAGGTGTAGAGGCTCACGCCTGGAATCCCAGCACTTTGAGAGGCTGAGGTGGGCGGATCATCTGAGGTCAGGAGCTCGAGACCAGCCTGGCCAGCATGGTGAAACCCCATTTCTACTAAAAATACAAAAATTAGCAGGGCATGGTGGCATGCGCCTGTAATCCCAGCTACTCAGGAGGCTCAGGTGGGATAACTGCTTGAACCCGGAGGTAGAGGATAACTGCTTGAACCCAGAGGTAGAGGTTGCAGTGAGTTGAGATTGCACCACTCTAGCTTGGGCAATAGAGGGAGATCCTGTCTCACCAAAAAAAAAAACAAAAAGAGCAAGTGAGAAAGAATATAAAATATCTCATGTTAAATAAGACTTAAAATGTATTAGGCTGAAAATAGATTATCAATATTAGTTTAGTTGGTTTCACTTTTTCCCTCACTTAAAAAAAAAAAGAGTGGCCAAGTGCAGTGGCTCAATCCTATAATCTCAGCACCTTGGGAGGCACAGTTGGGCAGATCACTTGAGGACAGGAGTTCAAGACCAGCCTGGCCAACAGAGCAAAACCCCATCTTGACTAGAAATACAAAAAATTAGGCCAGGCACAGTGGCTCACACCTATAATCCCAGCACTTTGGGAAGCTGAGGCAGGCGGATTGCCTTAACTCAGGAGTTTAAGACCAGACTAGGCAACATAGTGAAAGCCCAACTCTACTAAAAATAAAAAAGCCAGGCGTGGTGGCACGGGGAGGCTAAGGCATGAGAATCACTTGAACCTGCGGTGTAGAGGTTACAGAGGGCCAACATGGTGCCACAGCACTCCATCCTGAGTGACATAATGAGACTATATCTCAAAAAAAAAGAAAAAATAATAAATAAGCGGGACGTGGTGGTACATGCCTGTAATCCCAGCTACTTGCAGGAGTGAGGCATGAGAACCGCTTGAACCTGTGAGGCAGAGAGTGGAGGTTGCAGTGAGCCTAAATCACGTCACTGCACTGCAAAATGGGTGAAAGAGCAAGACTCTGTCTCCCAATAAACAAAGAGTGACGGAGGCCTCATTGTATTGCCCAGGCTGGCCTCCAACTCCCGGGCTCAAGTGATTCTCCCACCTCTACCTCCCAAGTAGCTAGGACTATCCAGTGTCCTTTTCACTTTTTAAATGTGGCCACCAGAAAATGTAAACGACATGGTGGCTTACATTCTATTTCTACTGGACAGCACTGGTCTAGGATCTCCCCAAAGCACAAGGGCTGCCCCAGGAAGTTGTCCAAGAAAGACTGCTAGAAGAATGAATGAATGAGCAGGTATTCAAACAAGAATCTGGACCTCAGGCAGGGCTCACAAACCTGAGAACCCCTGCGCTGAAGATTCCAGAAGCCACTCTCAGGCTGGATGGTCTTTCTGGCAGGAGATGGTTCAACGGTTCTTGTTATTGTTGGCCAGGCTGGTCTTGAACACCTGACCTTAGGTGAACTGCCTGCCTCAGCCTCCCAAAGTGCTAGGATTACAGGCATGAGCCACTGCACCAGCTGAGACAGTTCTAAGAGGCCAGTCAGGGTTACTATGTCTCTGGTACTCAACCCTCCTTTACCTCCCAAAGGACGCAGGTTCAAGGTTCAGAGGTGTGGCAGTGGCAAGGACTGCGGTCACACCTTGTCAGGTGATGGGGCTGGGAGAATGTGGGAGCACTGCTGAGGGTGGGGCAGCCAGCTGTCAGTGACCCTGGCCCCAGTGAGAGAGAAACTGTACCCTCTTCCCAGCAGCTAACCAGGATGTGACCCTTCAGGCACGTTAGCCTTCTCCCTGCCTCACACCAGCCTGGTACCTCCCCAACCGCAGCTCGGTGGGTGATCTCTCCGGTCCTCTGTGCCATGCCTGTGTAGGTCCTGGCCCTTCTTCATATACTTATCCCAACTTGAAGTGACCAGACTTGAGGCTCTGTGAGGCCAGGTCGCCTGGGTCAGCCCCAGTGGCTCTGATTCCCCAAAAGAAACTGCCAGGGTGAGGCTCACCTCGGCCTCGGCTGCTGCCCTCCTTGGCACGCCGGTATTGGTTCAGCTCTTTAGTGAAGTCGTCGTAGTCCTCCTTGCCCATGTCCTCCTCCTCGTCACCCTCGTATTCCCCGTACTGCTCGTTCTCGTAGTCCTCATACATGCCATAGCCCTTGCTGTCCAACTTGGAGTACGCCTTCTTGGGCAGGGGCGTGGCGTGCGATGGGGGATACTGCTGATGGGACTATGTCCCAGAGACGGGAGAGGAGGTGAGCCGGATCCCACAGCTATAGGTGCAGACTACCAAGATCCCCACCATTCCCTAAACTGACATGTCTGTCTGGGTGGGGCTACTGTCCCTGGGTTGCAGTGCTGGTCCCCAGCCCCTCTGGGGACTGGTTTTTCATTCCAGGGAGTGGGGGAAGCAGTGGGCCCAAGTGTTTCTGTTCTTCATAAAGGGCCAGAGCTTGAAACAAAACAGAACCACAGACTCCGAGTCCCTGAGGAACGAGAGGGAGGAGAAGGGAGCATTTCCTAGGGATGCAGAGCAAGCACATGGAGAGGGGCCTGGGAAGCAGGTGGGGGCTGCTCAGTCACAATGTTGCTAGGGCCCTGGAATTCAGTTAATGGCCTGCTTGGCAGCCAGGCGAGACAGCCCTCTCAAATGATGCTTTCCAAAGTGTGGTAATGCCAAGTGGTACTAGAAGAAGTTAAAGACATTCATAAAAATGGAATCAACTAGGACATCCTTCAACAGGTGAACGGATAATAAACTGGTACATCCAGACAATGAGGTAAAGGTGAATATATAACAATAAAATGTGCACTGGGAAAAATCTAAAGAACTACACAACTCTAAGGAATAACAATGTATCTCCGGGCGCGATGGCTCCCGCCTGTAATCCCAGCACTTTGGGAGGCCGAGGTAGGCAGATCACTTGAGCCTAGGAGCCTGGCCAACATGGTGAAACCCTATCTCTATCAAAAATACAAAAATCAGCCTTGGTGTGGTGGCATACACACACGGTTCTAGCTACTTAGGAGGCTGAGGCAGGAGGATCACCTGAGCCCAGGGAGCTCAAGGCTACAGTGAGCTGAGATCACACTCCAGCCTGAAAAACAGAGTGAGATTCCATCTCAATAAATAAATAAACAATAAAGTCTATTAATTTTAAAAATCCATATTATAGAAAAATAGGACAATGCAAAATACAGCAAGATACAGACACACATACAAGTACTTTAACAGATCTTTAAAATGCCTCCAGCTCTAGTTCAAAAACAGCATGTGATGTTCCCTCCATTTCCTGCATCCTTCAGGTTTCAAGTCCAAAGCTACACCAGTAGATCAATCTCAACTACAGTATTGGACAATGAATCATCTGTTGTGATGAATGTTGTTGAGTCATGGGATACCTGGGACAGCTTTAAAGACCTACTAACTTTAACTAGGTGCATGGCTCACACCTGTTATCCCAGCAATTTGGGAGGCGAAGGCGGGCAGATCACAAGGTCAGGAGATCAAGACCATCCTGGCCAACATGGTGACACCCCGTCTCTACCAAAAATACAAAAAAATAGCCAGGCATGGCGGCACGTGTCTGTGGTCCCAGCTACTCGGGAGGCTGAGATGGAAGAATCGCTTGAACCCACGATATGGAGGTTGCAGTGAGCTGAGATTGTACCACTGCACTGCAGCCTGGGTAACAGAGCAGGATACCATCTCAATAAATAAGTAAATCATTTCTAATCCAAACCTGGAGACCCACGTGCCACAGTGTACTGGGTAAAGTAATATTAAGATGATTTTCTTTTCTTTTATGGGATTTTCTGGGGGAAGAAATGGTATACGAACTGAACAAACAGTTTAAATTACTGCTTAAAACGAGAGCGACAATGGGCGAGTATTAACCTCTGCCTATGGACCACGGGAGAACGTTTCATTCTCTCAACGATTTCCCACAAATGGTCATTTCTGAACACAAGCCAGGCATGACGTGGACCAGTCAGCATCTTTCTCTGAGACATAGAGCCTTGCCAAGGCCGCACAGAGGAGACCCAAGAGCATGATGGAGGTCAGCTAGGGCCTGGGTTCAAATCTCAGCTTCTCTACTTCAGAGCAGTGCAAGCTTGTTGAAATTTCCTTTTCCTTTTGAGACAACGTCTCACTCTGTCACTCAGGCTAGAGTGCTGTAGCCAATCACAGCTCACTACAACCTTGAACTTCTGGGCTCAAGGGATCTTCTCACCTCTGTCTCTTGAATAGCTGGGACTACAGGCACAGCTGGCTAATTGTTTTAAATTTTTTGTGGAAACAGGGGTCTCGCTTTGTTGCCCACGCTGCCTTGTTGAAACGAAGTCTCAGTTTTCTCACTAATAAAACAGGGATTAAACCAATACCTAATGGCCCAGGACTGAAATCCACATAAAATGCCCAGAACACTGCCAAGCGCTCAAGAAACACAAGCAGTTTGAGTCCTCCCAGCCCCAGAGCTCAGCAGAGCGCACCCGTCACTCACCGGCGCATACGGGGGGCTGTACTCTCTGTACTTGCGGTGCCCTTTCTCACTGGGGCTGAAATCCGAGTCATCTGAGAAGTCAGAGAAGTCATCGCTAGAAGAAGCGTGGCGCTGTAACGACAGGGGAAGTAGACTCAGCGACCCTGCTGCAGGCAGGCCACTCGGGCGTAGTCAGCCTCGGGACAAGCTATGCTGGCATGTGCCGCAGGGCTCTGGGCTTCACCCCAAACACCTCACCTGGGGCACTCAGTGGCAATGGAGCATAAGCTACCAACTCTTTTAAAAAAGGTCTTTATCCGGTTTGAGATAAGCAAAGGCATTAAGAGTGCCCTCTGGGGAGGACAGCAGAAGCTCAGCCCCTGGGGCTGTCAGCCAGGCCCCATGCCAGGCATTGGTGGCCCTGGTAAATCCCGGACCTACTTTGTGTTTGGACTTCCTCCTCTTCTTCGACCTTCTTTTCTCCTTCTCCCGCTCCTTCTTCCGTTTCCGCTTCAGTCTTCTGTGAGACTTCTCCTCGTCCGAATCACTGTGATGCTTCTCCCCCTTTTCTTTCCGGCTCCTCTCGGGCCCTCCGGAGGTATCCTGGGTCTCCTCTGCCCCATCATCTTCCAACTCGCCTTCCTCCAACTCTCCATCTTCCCTACAAAGCAATCCCAAAGCCACCATGAACACAGGGTCTGAGAGACCTCCCAGGGCTCTGGGCTGGCCAAGGCTGACAGGAACCGAGGGCCTGGCTGCTGTGAGCGAGGAGACCCTGGGAGGATGTGGGGGCCATGGCCTCTTGTTCCATCCCTTATCCTGCCCCAGAAAAACTATGCTTGCTCCAGTCTAACTTGGCTGGGGGAGGGGTAGGAGTTTAAGGGCATTACCACCAACATCGGGACACATCTACGCCAGATTTCCAAATAGGACTAGTGTTCTCAGAAGAAACCAACGAGGTGCTGCAGTCAGGGAAGTGGGAAAAGCCCCTCTTGGGGATTCACAACGCTTCATGCTGCAGAACTTCCAGGAAGCCCCACAGTCCAGAAACCCACACAGTTCTACTGGAAGCACCTGAAGCAATTCTGCACCTGGCTTGACTACATAAGTGCCTCTCCCAGGAAGCACAGACCCACATCCCCACCTCACCAGGCCCAGGATCCCCTGCTGGGCCCTGCACCCGTGAGCTAGGCGTCAGTGCCACCTGAGGCTGAGGGTGGTGGCTGTGCACTGTGCAGAGGGCTGTGGTCCTGAAACAGGTGCTACCTGGGCCCACCGGCAGGCAGGCAGGCCTGGGCTGCAGCCCGAGAACCCGTAAAGTACTTTATTACAAAAGCCCCATGAGAACCGCTGGAAACAGGCTCTGAGTCCCAGGTCACCAAGTCTGACCCACCCTTGTCAGTCCCACACCTCTGGGCTGGAGGCAGGCAGACACTGAGCAGCTGGAGGACGGGGATGGGTCCCAGGCGGGCCTCATAATGACACTGGTCTGGGTTTCTCTACCTCCTCTGACTTGCCTCCAGGTACCAGGAACCCCTTCTGGCTCCCCATCCTATATTCTTCCCACTCCCCCAGGTCACCCCAACCCCAAGGATTTTAAACATGACAGACCCTGCCCAGTGGACATCCTGCATATGTAAATATCTATGGGCTGAGGTAGGGGGAGGGGATGGGTTCAGGAGGGGGCAGATAGAAAAAGAATCCAGTTTTTGAGCCAAACCCACAGACACAGTGCTCACAAGTACAGGAGCTGGTAAAGGAAAAACACAATTTTTTTTGAAAAATTTTAAAAAGCTTCCCAAGTTCCCCATGAATGACCACAAAAAGGCTTGCATGAGAGCATCCAACTCCTTCCATCTCAATTAACTAGGACACAAAGAGAGGTGATGTGAGGAGAAAACGTCATGAGGCCAGGCCCCAAAAGGCTAGCCACAAAGGGAGCTGATCTGGGCGCAAAGGCCCGCAGCTGTCAGGCAGGAGCCAGTGCATTAGGGCGCATGCCTGCAGGTTCCGGTGCACACTTCAGGCAGACTCCTCCCGGGAGCCTCCACTGTCCTTTCACTCATGTCTCTCCCTTTGTCTGCCTCCAACCTCAAAACATCAAGGAACTCCTCAAGAGGGGCTTTTTCTGTGAACTCTCATTCCCAATTCAAAGGGGATAGATAGGTTCTATTTCAAACCCAAGTGGCCCAGCCCCACGGATGCCCCATGGATACCCCTCGGCAGAGGTCAAGGGCAGCTCTCGAAACAGAATGAGGGACACAAAACTTTCTGCTCCTTCAAAGGCAACAACACAGAGAGGTGACCTGACCCATGTGTGCCTCGTGTTGCTTCACAGACGAGCAAACTTGACATGGGGCAAAGACGCAGGCTGCAGTCCTGAGAAGGGAGGCACCTTCCACCCAGGGTGCGGCCCACAGAAACCAAGCGTGGGGCACAGCCCTCACTGGCTGCCTCACCCACACCGAAAGGGCCACCAGACTGGGGAAACTGGTTTTGTCCCAAGGGAGAAGCTGTTACTCAGTGACACGGCAAACTTCCCACCACCAGGGAGCCGTGCAGACACTGGGAGGTGACGCCCTGATGGGAACACTGGGAGCCGGCCAAGGCCAGACCTCAAGAGAAACGCAGGGAGAGACAGATAGACAGACTGAGCGGGAGAAGTCCCAGGACAGACTGGAGGTGTACAGGCTGGGGTTCCACGAAGTAAAGCTAAGAGCAACATCACTCTCAACACTTAAGCCTAGAAGGGATAAAGCTGAGAGGGACACGATCACCACCCAGGCCACTAATATTTTAAATGCCCAGTCTGTGCCAGGTTGTTTGACTACCTCCTTTTCTGCACTGTCCTGGTAGGAAAAAGATACAACTGACAAGAAACTTGGTCCATAAGACAGGTGCATGATCATCAGGGCTGGGTCAGCTAAGCCAGAGCAGATGGCAGCCTCAGCACACCCTCTCCCCTATGTCCAACGCAACAGCATGGCAGGCGACAGTCTTGCCCAGGATCAGCTAAAGACTCCTTCCTTGTCCCAATGCTACCTGCTGGCTTAGATGAAGGTACAGGCTACCCTACATCTAAACACCTGGGAGCAGAGGACAAAAGACCATCCAAGGAACTCTAGGAGCCTTAACCATCATCCAGAATGATTCTAGGAAGAACTCACTTTGTAGATGGGAGCTTAAAAGAAAATAAAAAATAAAGGACTCACCAAGGTAGAGAAGTATAGCATTCAAATCCACCCTACAAAGACCGGAGCCAAAGAGGGATTCTGCAAATTATCAATATTAACAGCTCCAGACATGTCTGGGCTGAAAGAGAATCAACCATACAACTTTTCACAAAACAGGCTGTGACTACCTGAAATTTTGTTTCTCTGGAGTTGAGAGGCAGAGAAATAGAGGATTTTTTGTTGTTAAATTGCTACTGGTTGATGAAGGGACACTGAGATGGCAACAATGAACAGATCGCTGCACTCTCAATGCCATCTGGCTATCTCATGCCCTCAAGCTCCCCCGAGCCCTAGACTAACCTCTGCTAATGGTCACCTCAGGGGGTGCCCCCTCACGACACTCAAGGTACCCTCCCAGCTAAATGTCCTTCGTGAATACGAGGTCTTAACTATATTCTTCGGACTCTGTTCAACAGAAATCAAAAAGAAAGGAAGGAAATCAAGTCAACTGGGAATCCTGTGGGCCACCAGTGCGACGGCACAAAGGCGGCCTCCACAAAACAGCAACCAGGTTTCAGCGCTGCCACTTAACACCGGCAAAATCCGTGTCAGAGTGGGATTAAATACCGAGGGAACGCGCTTGATAGACCGCGACATAATCCCCCAAGAAACGTTGGGGAAGCCCCACTGCGCTAATCTTTTCAATCTAGACCTGCCAAACTCTCTTGAGACAAGCAGGCAGGAGAAAAGCCTGCCACGGCGGCCTGTGCAGGGATGCTCTATTCCCAGAGCCTGGATTGGCAATGCCTGGCTTGGCTGCACTCGATCTGCTGCCAGGGCCCTCGGGGACAGGAAAGCAACCACCCTGAGAGACGACTTGGAGCTGGCCCCCAGGAGGAAATGGGAAAAGCCACGCCTCGCCTCCTGGACAAAGCTCCAGGGCGTTTCCTCCTGGACAAAGCTCCAGCTCCATTTTCAGAGCTGGCTGCTTCTCCCGCTGGGTCAAAGAACAGATCTGGACGCCCACTTTAAGGAAGAGGCCAACTCTACAGGGTCCACAAGCATGCTGGGTTCAGCACACACCACGGGCTTGGCAAAAACAAGATACTTCATGTCTAAGGTGGCGTAAGGGCTCATGCCTGTAATTCCAGCACTTCAGGAGGCCAAAGCAGGCAGACCACATGAGGTCAGGAGTTCGAGACCAAACTGGCCAACATGGCAAAACATTGTCTCTACAAGCAATACAAAAATTAGCTGGGCTCGATGGTGGGCACCTGTAATTCCAGCTAATCAGGAGGCTGAAGTACAAGAACTTGAATGTGGGAGGCGGAGAGTCCAGTGACCTGAGATTATGCTATTGCACTCCAGCCTGGGAGACAGAGTGAAACTGTGTTTTAAAAAAACAAAACAAAGAAAATATAATCCCAGCACTTTGGGAGGCCAAGGCAGACGAATCACCTGAGGTCAGGAGTTCGAGACTAGCCTTGCCAACATGGCAAAACTCCATCTCTACTAAAAATGCAAAAACTAGCCCAGCGAGGTGGAAGGTGCCTGTAATCCCAGCTACTTAAGAGGCTGAGGCAAGAGAATCTACTGAACCTCAGAGGCAGAGGTTGCAGTGAGCCGAGATCACACCACTGCTCTCTAGCCTGCCTGGGCAACAGAGTGACTCGGCCTCAAAAAAAAAACAAAACAAAAAAACAACAACAACAAAAAAACATATTTCATGTCCAAAGTAGACATCACATTTCAAAGTAGATATTTCCTATTGCCTCCCCCAGCAGCCTACAGATCTGGGCATTATGCTTCTTTCAGCAGACCAAGTAACACAACTAGCTCCACCTCTTCTCTGGAGTATGCTTGATCTGTAACCCAAGCCTTGCTTTTCTGATCTACTGAATGGGATAACAACAGGCACCTATCTCAAGGGCTGTGAAGATTAAGAGATAATAGGGATAAAGTCCTTGACACATGAGGGACAGGCACAAAGGAAGGAGCAGCTGTTGGTTGTAAGAACCAGTTAGCATGAGGGCACCTCTCCATGGAAAACCCTAACCAGCTGGAATGCTAGCTGGGAAGCGTGTTCTCTGTAAGAGCTACAGCCAGCTCTCCCTGACGGACACTGCTGACTGGGCCAACAAGTTCTTGTTTTACTTGGTGCCAACCACGCATGCAGCATGTTTTCCCAACCCGGTTTTGTCCTGCTGACAAAACTGATGAAAGCACCATCTCCCCCTCCTCAGCTCTAATCTAGGCAGTACCAGAAGCCACCAAGTGGCTATCAAGAGAAAAAGGCTTAGGGAGAGCTGAGCCCCTGGGGAAAAAACAAAGGCCTCTTACAGAAATGAAGCTTGGCAACATGGCAGCTCTCTAGACAAGAGGACTGGACGAAAGCTGAAAGGGGCCTGGGGTTTGTGGATCGACCTGGTTTACAAGGGGTTAAAAAAAAGCAAAGTACAAAAAAGATGGAAACTCCTGGGAACAGCGGCTGCTACCTTGAGATCATGAGAGCCCTCGATAAGAGGCGGCTAGGTTAATGTGAAGGTCAGGGTTATGATCATTAACTGCCCAGACTCTCAACAAATTGCCTGGGTAGGCTCTGAATGACCCATTAACTAGGGACAAAATTACGAAAATTACAAGGAGGCACCGCCTCTTCAAATGTTTAACAACCAGCCTAACTGCAGAAGTTCAGGATCCCCAAGTCCGATTCTGCAGGACGGTCGTTTACCAGAAGTGAAGGCGCAGGGCCTTTGCTTTAGAAATTCGGCTCAGTGCTCAAGCCTAAGAAAGGCCCCCAAGACCTTCCCTTGGTTAGGATGGAGTGAAGCAGCCTCGGGGGAAACCTCACTGAGGGATTTTCAGAGCCAGGAAATTCTTGAAATAACCTCTGGGTCTTGCACATGCTTTTCAGTGTCGTTACTGTCTAGGTTCATCAACCAGAAATCAAGAACTGTGCTCTGCATCTCCTTTTCCTCAGCATTCTCAGGTGTCATCATAGCATGCTCTGTGATGTCCTGCCATTTCCATGGTAACGCACCCACACCAAGGCCACCACCCAGGTGGGAGTCCAGCCATCAGCACCTGTACCCTGTTCCCACACCTCTCACTTCAGTGTGAGACAGTCTACCCACTGCTGGCATCCAGATACGAACACACCTACTGGCAGATGTGACCGTAGGAGAAATTGGAGCCATCTGAACCCAGACCGGGTATTTGAGATGTTGATTGTTAATTTTGTTAGGAATGAGTTTCATAGTAAGGTTTTTTGTTTTGTTTAGAGATGGAGTCTTTACTCTGTCACCAAGGCTGGAGTGCAGTGATGTGATTTTGGCTCACTGCAACCTCCACCTCCTGGGTTCAAGTGATTCTCATTCATCAGCCTCCCGAGTAGCTGGGACTACAGGCACCTGCTACCACACCCAGCTAAATTTTGTATTATTTGTAGAAACAAGATTTCACCATGTTGGTCAGGCTGGTCTCCAACTCCTGAGCTCAGGTGCTCCACCTACCTTGGCCTCCCAAAGTGCCGGGACTGCAGGCATGAGCCACCGCGCTCAGCCTATAGTGAGGTTTTAAAAAATCCTCAAGTTAGAGATTCATATTGAAGAATCTACAGGTGTAGGGCAGGCACAGTGCCTCATGCCTATAATCCCAGCATTTTGGGGGGCCAAGGCAGATGGATCACTAGAGCCCAGGAGTTTGAGACCAGCCTGTGCAACATGGGGAAGCCCCTTCTCTACAAAAAATACAATTAGCAAAAAAAAAAAAAAAAAAAAATACAATTAGCCTGGCAGCATTCGCCTGTAGTCCCAGCTACTCAGGCAGCTAAGGTGAGAGGACCGACTGTGCCAGGAGGTGGAGGCTGCAGTGAGCTATGATTGCTCCACTGCACTCCAGGCTCGACAACACAGTGACACCCTGTCAGACTGCATGAGCCCAGGAATTAGAGACCAGTCTGGGCAAAACAGTGAGACGTCATCTCTACAAATAATTTAGAGACAGGGTCTCTCTATGTTGCCCAGGCTGGTCTTGAACTCCTGGACCAAAGTGATCCTCCTGCCTTGGTCTCCCCAAATTCTGGGATTAGAGGCATGAGCCATTGCACCCAGCCTCTACAAATAATTTAAAAAAAAAATTTTTTGGGGCCGGGCGCGGTGGCTCATGCCTGTAATCCCAGCACTTTGGGAGGTTGAGGCAGGTGGATCACGAGGTCAAGAGATCGAGACCATCCTGGTCAACATGGTGAAACCCCACCTCTACTAAAAATACAAAAAATTAGCTGGGCATGGGGGCGCGTGCCTGTAATCCCAGCTACTCAGGAGGCTGAGGCAGGAGAATTGCCTGAACCCAGGAGGCAGAGGTTGCGGTGAGCCAAGATCGCGCCATTGCACTCCAGCCTGGGTAACAAGAGCAAAACTCCATCTCAAAAAAAAAAAAAAAAAAAAATTTCCATAATAAAAAGAAAGAAAGAAAAAAGTTCCAAGTCAGACAACTCAGCGACGTGAGAAGAGGCTGCAAGGTCCCCAAGCAGTTATTTAGTAATTTCCCAGCAGAGAGCTGGAATCCGGGCTTGGAGGCCTTTACATACTCCTCACCAAGGCCTACACTGGGGCTCAGAAACAGGAAGGAATTTGCATATGGGGTCACAGCAGGAAGAAGCAGAACTAGAAACTAGGTCCACTACTTTCCGATGCAATGACCAGCTCTTAACCTCTACCCTTATGACAACCACAAATTATGTCAGTCGGAAACATGAATTTGCTAAACAAGTCAACTGACAAAACAACACCCACCCTGAAACTTATAATCGAGTGGGGAAAAATAAGATATACATACACACATGAAATACTTCCCGAATCAGTATTCCAAGAAATGCCAGAATAAGGTACCAAGACTCTGGGCAAATTCCTTAAACACTCTGCACCCCAGTTTCCTTAACTGTGCAGCGAAGGCAACCATCATGGGAGAATCCCACGAGGCCATGTAACGCAAGCACTTAGTAGGAATCTCACACAGAATAAACGCTTAGGAGTAAAACCTACTCAAACGCAGAGACACAAGGCCAATATAGTCCTTCCAATATCAAATGAAAGGAATGGTAGCATTTCAAAAATCTGACCAAAGACGTCTGGATAGAGCATAAGAGGCTCATGGTAAGTCTGAAGGAATTCTGACCAAAAAAAAAAAAAAAATAGGACTCATCCCAACACAAAGAGAAAGAAATACAAATCCCAGGAAGTGCAATTCCAAAGTCCCCTAACATGAAAGGAATGCCTTCACCCCCAAGTGTGCAGCGTCCACTCTGGGGTTTGTCCAAGCACGCAAACATCTTAGGCAGAACATTTCTGCAGAGCTTCAAACAGGCTGACCATGAAAAAACTCAGCTGGCTAGAGGAAGCTTGTGGAAACAAAGATGCCATTTTCTTTGCCTGAGTAGCTATTCTTCCACTCCTACCAGCTCTGGATATTTGCATTCTTGAGCAAAGGTATCTATCCCTCAGATCCAAGTTACTCCTGGCAGATGAACCTCTGGAATTTTCTTCTCAGCAATGAAGAGTTTTCTAACCAACTTCTGATGCCAACTAAGCTTCAGATGGCTTAAAGCTGCAAAGATCACGGTTTTCATCTAAGGAGGACAAATTTCTATTACTCCAGAGGAGAAAACTTAATCATTTAACGTATGAACTAAGACTTCTCCTTATTTACAATTTTTAATTTTCACTTCCTTGATACAAGGTCTTGCTCTGTCATGCAGGCTGGAAGTGTAGTAGTACGATCGTGGCTCACTGCAGCCTTGACGTCCTGGGCTCAAACAATCCTCCCAACTTAGCCTCCCAAGTAGATGGGACTACAAGCATGTGCCACCATGCCCAGCTAATTTCCGCATTTTTTTTTTTTTTTTGTAGAGATGGGGTTTCAGGCTGGGTGCAGTGGCTCATGCCTGTAATCTCCGCACTTTGGGAGAACAAGGCAGGCAGATCACTTGAGATTAGTAACTCAAGACCAGCCTGGCCAACATGGTAAAACCCCATCTCCACTAAAAATAGAAAAATTAGCCCAGTGTGATGGCATGCACCTGTGGTCCCAGCTACTCAGGAGGCTGAGGCAAGAGAACCGCTTGAACCCAGGAGGCGGAGGCTGCAGTGAGCCGAGACTGTGCCACTGTACTGCAGCCTGAGTGACACGGTGAGACTCCATCTTAAAAATATATATAAAAATAAGCCGGGTGCGGTGGCTCACGCCTATAATCCCAGCACTTTGGGAGGCTGAGGCAGGTGAATCATGAGGTCAAGAGATCGAGACCATCCTGGTCAACAAGGTGAAACCCCATCTCTACTAAAAATACAAAAAATTAGCTGGGCATGGTGATGCGTGCCTCTAGTCCCAGCTACTTGGGAAGCTGAGGCAGGAGAACTGCTTGAACCTGGGAGGCGGAGGTTGCAGTGAGCCGAGATTGTGCCACTGCACTCCAACCTGGCACCTGGTGACAGAGCAAGACTGTCTCAAAAAAAATAAACAGGGCCGGGCGCGGTGGCTCACGCCTGTAATCCCAGCACTTTGGGAGGCAGAGGTGGGTAGATCACGAGGTCAAGAGATCGAGACCATCCTTGCCATGATGAAACCCGTCTCTACTAAAAATACAAAAATTAGCCAGCTGTGGTGGCACACGCCTGTAGTCCCAGCTGCTCGGGAGGCTGAGGCAGAAGAATCGCTTGAACCCAGGAGGCAGGGGTTGCAGTGAGCCAAGATTGCACCACTGTACTCCAGCATGACGACAGAGCATGACTCCGTCTCAAAACAAAAAACAAAAAAAAATAAACATCCCACATGGTGGGAGCTGCCTTTCCCCTCCTGGATTTCCCCTCTGGAATCCTCTTCCACACTCTTCGTGGAAGTCTTTCTCTTCTCCTTTTCTTCTCTTTTCTCTACTGAAATAAAATCATCTTTCTGGCTGGGCACGATGGCTCACGCCTATAATCCCAGCACTTTGGGAGGCCGAGGTGGGTGGATCACAAGGTCAAGAGATCGAGACCATCCTGGTCAACATGATGAAACCCCGTCTCTACTAAAGATACAAAAATTAGCTGGGCATGGTGGCGTGCGCCTCTAGTCCCAGCTACTCGGGAGGCTAAGGCAGGAGAATTGCCTGAACCCAGGAGGCGGAGGTTGCGGTGAGCCGAGATGGCGCCATTGCACTCCAGCCTGGGTAACAAGAGTGAAAATCCGTCTCAAAAAAAATAAATAAATAAAATAAAATCATCTTTCTGCAACAACAACAACAAAATAATAATAATAATAATAAAAATAAACAAATAAGAGATCTGGGCCTAAGATTCTTGAGATTTGTTCATGTACCACCTAAAGAATTTATTGGCCAGGTGCAGTGGCTCACACCTGTAATCCCAGCACTTTAGAAGGCCAAAGCAGATGGATCACCTGAGGTCAGTTCAAGACCAGCCTGGCCAATATGGGGAAACCCCATCTCTACTAAAAATACAAAAATTAGCTGGGCATGGTGACATGTACCTATAAAATCCCAACTACTCGGGAGGCTGAGGCAGAAGAATCACTGGAACCCAGGAGGTGGAGGTTGCAGTGAGCGGAGATTGTGCCATTGCACTCCGGCCTGGCAACAGAATAAGACTGTCTCAAAAAAATAATAGTAATATTTTATGAAGAACTGCAATTATCTGTATACAACCTGTTTGTTAATTTCTAGTCACCTGTGAGTTCCTTAGGGGCAGACAAGAATTAGGTTTACAGTAACCCAAAGTTTCCAAGGGCCCAGAACAGGACCAGGAACAGAATGGGTGCATGCTCAGTGCATATTCTACATGCAGTATCAATCTCAGCTCTCTTACCTTTTGCTCAATTTCATCAACAGAAACAATAGCAAATTTCCAAGACACCTTTTTCAGCAACCTTTATCACTTAAAACTTTGACACAAACTCATTCAAGTGTTTATCAAGGGATTCCAAGTAAGCCTGAAAGTGATGGATGCACAGAATGAGCAGAAGAGACAGGCCCTGCCTCGGATGCAGCCTGCCTGTGTGGCCCACAGGCTTCGGTTACCGTGACTGCTCTCATTCCCTGTGGAGTGGCAGGGCCTGCCTGGAATCCCAAGGAAACCTAAGCCCTAGTGTCTGTTAGGAAAATGAGGAGGGCAATAATCCAAGCCACCTGCAATAGACTTTTAGCCAAGTGACACTAGTGTCTGGGCCCAGCTCCCTCGGTGAGGCCATAGCAGGGATGTGATGGCCGTGATCCACTTCCACACCGGCCTCACGAAGTCTCCAGTTACTTCTAATGAATGAAAATCCCTTGCATTTAAGGGTTCAACAGCCTAGGCTTGGGCCTCTACATTTACTGGAAGGAGTAGAATGCAGGGAGGATGCAGCCACAGTGGACTGAGGAGGGGGTCTCGAGGGCCAACTTTAAATAGAATACCTATATTCCCTCCTCATTCCCTCCTATCACAAAAATAATAACAATGCAGGCAGGCAGACAGTGCATATCATAGCGCGCGGTGGCAACTTTCTACTCAACCCTGCTGCTATAGCGCAGAAGCAGCCACCGATGGTCTAAATGAATGAATATGGCTATGTGCCAAGAAACTTTACCTACTGGCCAGGCCCAGAGGCTCACGCCTATAATCCCAGCACTCTGGGAGGCCGAGGAGGGCGGATCAATTGAGGTCAGGACTTTAAGACTTGCCTGCCAACATGGTAAAACCTCATCTCTACTAAGAATACAAAAATTAGCCAAGCATGGTGGCGCAAGCCTGTAATTCTGGCTACTCGGGAGCTTGAGGCAGGAGAATCGCTTGAACCAGGAGGCGGAGGTTGCAGTGACCTGAGATCCCACCACTGCATTCCAGCCTGGGTGACAGAGCAAGACTCTAGTCTTAAAACAAAACAAACAAAAACTTTACCTACAAAAACAAGATGGGTGGGCTGGCTTTGGCCTGAGAATCATAGTTTGCCAACCCCTAGCCTGAATGCAACAGCTTTCATAATTTTTTTATTTTTGAGACGGAGTTTCGCTCTTGTTACCCAGGCTAGAGTGCAATGGCGCGATCTCGGCTCACCGCAACCTCCGCCTCCTGGGTTCAAGCAATTCTCCTGCCTCAGCCTCCTGAGTAGCTGGGACTACAGGCACGCGCCACCATGCCCAGCTAATTTTTTGCATTTTTAGTAGAGGCAGGGTTTCACCATGTTGACCAGGATGGTCTCGATCTCTTGACCTCGTGATCCACCCACCTCGGCCTCCCAAAGTGCTGGGATTACAGGCGTGAGCCACCACGCCCAGCCCATACTTTTTGACATTGACCCACATCTGCTTCTTTGCATTTCTCCCAAACAAAACTTTCCAGAAGCCACATTTAAATGCATTCTGCTTTTTCTCTCCTCTTCCATTACCTTGGTTTTCCAATGCAGGAGAAAAAAAATCAATGGGACTTCACATCCCACAAGCGGCTATGCCCTGCAGTCTCAACAATACCACACCAGATCCAGCACGGCATAATGGTATGTACAGAGATGAGGTCTGGGTACAAGCTGCTCAGGGGGTTCTAACTCTGCCTGCAGCACACACTTGCTTTGTGACCTGGGACAAGTGACTTTGCTTCTCTGTTTCAGTTTCTCCTCGAAGGGTAGAGGTAAAGGTTAAATGAGCTAACACATGAGAAGCACTCAGAAGGGCCCTGGCAGGTAAGCACTGACCTTCAGGTCAACTGTGCACAAATGGCACTGTCACCCATTTGGAAGATGAAGACACTGACTTAGGAGATGAACTCAAGACTCACATCCAGTTTGTCTGACTCCCTGGGAGACAGAGCAAAACCCTGTCTCAACAGAAGAAAAAAAGCAAAAAAGCTTTTGGCTCTCGAGTTCACCCTGTCCTTTCTGGGACCACTGATAGGCGTGACCGGGAACCTGAAGGGCCTGCCTGTGATCTAGTCACTGAGCCTAACCCTCGAATTAATTTTTAGGGCATGTGCTTTTTAAGTGGGTATTAGTGAGCTGCAGTGGCAGCAGCAACCCTTTACCATGGCCAGAGACTGTAGAAGGTAGGTCAGACACCCAAAAAGGGAAGGCCTGGTAAAGGCAGTAACAACCCTTGCCCAAGTCTAAATAAAGTCTTCAGGAGAGAAGCGTTCTTTAAACACTCAGAAAACTTTTCTGCTCTAAGAAAAGCCCGGGAGGAGCTTACTGAATGAACAAAACCTTAACGGACTTGGCCAGATCCCAAAGGAGTGAAGAATCCTAGAGCTGGATGAAACCTTGCTCATTCCTCTCCGGAGAGAGTAAAGCACTGTTCCGGTCAAACTGCCTAGTTCGCAGTGGTGTGAGACTCCAGATCCCCGGCTTCCCAGCTCTCAGAAGCCCTACCAAGACTGCAGCACTGACTCAGGTTCTAATTGCAAAAGATCAACGCAGGAGGTACAGTCAGCATAAGCTCCAGACAGTATGACCATTTGAGCATCTATAAAAAGACACTGAGCAAGTGGGAAATGTCTTAAGATGGCTTCCACTTGCTGTCAACCCCAGGGCTCCCTGCCATTAAATAAGCTGACCAGAACCCTAAGAGGTAAAAAATAAATGCACTTCCTTCAAAAATAGGTTATTCTTACTTCTCTTTACACACCGACTGTAAAAGTTCTGTTTCAAATTTTTCTCTAGTAGGGAAAGCAGGAAGGCTCACTGAATGCTGGCATTGTGTGGGTGTCCCCAAATGCACCCATTTGACCACAAGGACCCTGAGAAGTGGGCATTTTATACTTGAGGCCTATTGCACACAGCTGGGAGGAGCCAGGCCTGAACAGTTTTATCTGGCTCCAAAGTCCACAGTCTTCCTCCACATCCTGTTGCCACCTCCGACATTCAAAAAGATGTCACCACTTGCCTGACAAACAGGGCCGAGTCACCTACTCACACAGATGCAAAATGGCAAAAAAAAAAAAAAAAAAAAAAAAATACAAGAGAAAGATCCTTCATGCAGACCAGTCTGGCCAGAGCAGCAAACTATGCCCCGAGCAAATAATCCTAAATTCCATTAAGAAAAAAAGTAACAGGACACAACTAAACCTAGCACCAACCAATGGCCGTATCTTCATTTTTGTCAACAACTACTAAGAGTCACCCCACGGGGTGATGTGCCAGAAATCGATTTAAAAACTGCCCATCTCACCTCATTACATCACCAGCAAAATCGCACACAACGTCTTCAAGACTATCTGCATTAACCACTAAAAGCAAACGCCTTCCGCAGCAAAGACTAGGCCAAGACATGGGGAGAGTCAAACCCATGACGTTTGGCTCCCCCTGAACAATCTCATTTTTACCTTAACTTATCCCCATGAACTTGACATGCCACCCAGACAAACTGGCAGCTTTTCCATCCTATTAGGTTTTAATTATGAAACTGGCTTCAAACCATGTATTCGGACAGGATCCCCGCCACCAGTGAGGCTTCGCCTACAGTCCCTGATCTGCTGAATCGATACCAATTGCCAGAAATCTCAGGAGTCATCCTTCTCTTCTTAGCTGTGCTGCCAAGGTACAGGTTAAGCGCCCTGCTCAATTCAGCTACTTTGCTTGCTATTCGAATGCTCTGTCCCTCAACCTCTCGCGGATCGGAGAAACAGTTGCTCTGGCCTAGAAGCACTATTTTTTTTTTTGTGGTGGTGGTGGTGGGGGGTGCCCAAAATTAGGTTCTCTAGAATCTGGTTTGACTTGATAGTATCCATGGAGACTTGGAAATAGTTTCATTAGCAATTTTCACCATAGAGATATTTACTGTAACTGGATCTGACCTCTTCTGGAGAGGTTTCTAGAGGCCGGATAGCCGTAAAAACAAAACCAAAGGAAGTGAACGACCCTCAGACAGCCATTTCTTTCCCATCAGGGAAGAAGTAAAAGATCTAAGAGCAAGAAGCAGAGGTGGAAGCACTGCTAAATAAATTACTAACCAGGCCCAAAATGAAATTGCTCTACATTCAACTGTATGGAAACGCAAGAGTCAAAACCGTTCATCTTTAACTCGCCAGGCAGTGAACAGTCAGGTCCACAGGTACAAAACAGTATTCCCTTGGGATCGGCCTTCCCGGCTTCGGAAAACCACAACAGTGGCTTACTAAAATAGCTAGCTCTACTTAGAGAAAACTCTGGCTTATAAAGAAATCAAAACTTTAAACCTTCAGAGCAGAGCAAAACTGTACCTGGGCGAAGAGGACAGGCTGTGAATTACTCCTTTTGGGGAATCGCATTTTTTTTCTTTTGAAGAGCAAAATTGAGGGGAATTAAAAAAATAAAGGGGTTTTATGACCAGAACATCCGTATTTCCATGGTCACAATGGACTGTTTCTACTAGGAGACTTTGAATTGCTTTCAAATTAAATCTCTCACGCAGAGAAAATAAAAATGAAAAAGGTCACGTGTATATAGTAAAATTCCTTAAATCAGGGATTCTGAGTGACACCCTTTTCTCTCTTTTTTGCAACATCCATTAATTTGATTTTTAACTAATACTGGTACATCAGTTTGGGGGGGTGAAAAAGGCAGTACTGTGACATTTCAAAAACAAAGATTCCAAAATACAGTTTTTGACTTAATTACTGGGACCTCTGGGTCTTAATGGAAGAGAGTCCTTTGAGAACAGAAAACAATAAACCCTTGTGTTGATATGCCAGTGAGCTTTTTAAATGTTTGGGGAAATAGTTTCAAATTCATTGAATGATGGCTAAAAATTTCACTTACAAAAGAAACCTCATTTCCTTAACGTTTTTTAAAACGTCAGTTTAAATAAACAACTTAGTAGCCTTTGGAACTGGGTCCTCAGTCATCTAGTCTCTGTTCTCAGCTCCTGGAGAAGGAATTTTACAAAGGATGGGAAACTTCAAATAAGTGCAGTTCTTTTTGGGCTGACCCAGTGCCCCGGATCTAGTGTTTGTTCGGTTGGTGCTTCAGACATTTTTTTGCGGGATACCATAGAGTTTGGAGATTTCTTCCTCCCATAACTGATTTTACATCCTCACTAGGATAACCACACCACAGCAGTTGTGAACAGACTAAGAGGAAGAAACCAAGTGGCCTACTGAATTGCAGTTTCCTCTCTACACGTGTGGGACCTTTTTTCCTTGTAAGAAGGGAAAAAAGGAAACGGGTCTGTTGGAGAGGACCAGGGTTCTCTCTCAAAGTATGCCAGGGATCAAAAGTGGGAAAGAGGGAAAATGCAACTTCAACGTGTTTTGTCTTTTAACGGAACTGATGCTTGTAAAACACATCGGAAGTACGGTGTTTGGTTCTGCAAGTCATTTCTGTTGGTTTTTTTTCCTTGTTAACGTGTAGGACGGGGGACTGGGGGCTGGAGGAGGTGTTCCCTCCAACATGACTGGGCGTGTAACACGTTTGCATCAACTTTTCACAGACATGTGCTTTCGAACAAAGGAGCAGTGGAGACAGGCAGAGATGGGGGCTTGACAGAGTTCACAGATTTTGTGCTTCAACAGTACTTTACAAATGACTTGCTCAATTTTAAGGTCCATCACCACAAGAGACATTGGAGTAAAACGAGAAAATTGGAGCTACTTGAACCAATCTTTTTGGGGGGGGAGGGAGAACCATTAACTTGAATACATGTATCATAAATCAAATTCAGTAAGCTTGTCTCCTATAAATGGACTTGAAGTATCCACTTTCTTCAAAGATGAAGGCTGGAGACAAAGCAATGGATTGAAATGGAAAGAGGGACGCCAGAGCCTGAAAACACAGGCCTTTTACATCGGTTTTTGTCATGTTACAGTAGCACACTTTTTTTTTTTTTTGAGAAAACTGTGTACATCAAATTTAAAAAATTAAACACTGAAAGGATGTGCAAGTATAAAAGGGCTCAACAGGGTTAGAATCCTGATTCCAACACATCAATTCACTCTCAAGCATCACTTTGGTCTAAAGGCGAGGAAGAAGGCAGGCAGGAAAGGGAGAAAAAGAGGGAGATCATTGAATTACTCAATAAAAGAGGCTACTTACCATCCCAACCCATTGTAAGACATACACTTCTGACATAAGAGAACTCCTTAGAGGTCGAATAAAGCGTGTAAGCACCTTTGAGTAATGCACCTGCCCCCGGAGAGGGGGCCGGAAGCCCGACGTGGGCTTAGCGAACAGACCTTTGCTAATCTGTTTATTTCCTTGAACTGGAGTCGGGCTGCGATGGGCTGCGATTCCCAGGACGATACATTTAATTAGAACAAAACAGAAAAAAAAAATGTTGTAAAAGCTCACCAAACTGCTGCACTTGTGTCTCTGAATGTGGGTGGCATTTCTTTTAAAAGGCAAAGTATGGTCTGTGAAGGAGAAAGGGGAAAGGGGAGGGAGGAGTGGGGAGAAGGGGCAGTGGAGTCTGGCAGGGGGAGCCCTGGCTGAAACCCCCGACTAAGGGAGGTTCCTGAGGGGCTCCCCAGGCAGGGCTGCGACGGGGTAGCCATCTGTCCAGCACGTTCTCTTCCCCTCTCCACCCCCACTCCTTCCAAGACTGTCTTGCCTGCCGACCGAAACCCACCGTCCGTGTCCAAACCTACTCTCCAGCCGCCTCTTCTGCCCCACCAGGAAACAGTGGGCGAACCCTGCACCCCAACTCCTTCTGCTCGAGCAGGGGAAGGAAACAGGGCCCCAACCTCGCCCTGAAACGCGCCGAGCTGTCCCCATTATCACCCGCCAGCCAGAGAAGGGCGGGAGGGGGGCCTCGTTTCGCACTTAGGGAAGGGGGCGCTTCCTTTCACCCCCTGCCAAAGCACAAGGAAATCGCCTTTTCTCTTCCGGAAGAGATGGTGCCCCATTTTACCCCGAAAGAGGGGGGAACCACAGGAGAAAGCGCGGGACCAACTTCCTCTCCCCTACAAGGCAGGGAAACCAAACCTTCCCCCCTCCACAAAAAAGGCTAAGAGCCCTCTCACGTCACCTACCTACGAAAATCGAGAGGACCCCTGCCCTTTAGCAAAAACATGGGGAAGAGTCTTCTCTCAAAAAATAAGCAGGGGTTTTCATCAGAAGGGCTGGAGAGGCATCTCTCCCCCTCCCCAATTCTGCATTCTAGGGAATAGCTAGAAAACACCTCCCGCCAAAAATTAAGTGCCATACCCACCCAAAGGACCCTCCATTAGAAGGATGAAGAAAGGACCTGAACCCCCACTTTCTGCCTCCTAAAAAAGCTAGGGTACCTATCATCCAAGTAGGGCAGGGTGTGCCCCCCCAGGAGAAAGGATACTGCCGGGGGCTGGGAGACCCCCAACCCCAAACCCCTAAGAGCGGGGCTGTTGCTGGAGATCCCCCTAAAAAGGGTCCGGAGCCCCTCCCCCATCCCCTTCCCCGAAGTCAGGCGACGGGCAGGCGGGCCCGTGGCTGCCAGCTCCGGGCGCAGGGGCAGCCAGGACCCCCGTGGGCCTCCGCAGCACCCCCCCTGGCGCCCCCTCCCCAGGGCGGGCGGGCGGGCGCGGGGGGTCCGAGGGGCGCCTCCTCACCTTCCCCTCAGCATGGCGCCCAAAAAAGACAGAGCGAGAGCGAGGGAGAGCGGGCGAGCGCCGCGAGGGGGGGGAAACGCATGAGGCCGGGAGAGAAAGCAAGCGAGAAAGAGCGAGCGAGCTAGCGATCGAGAGACACCCACCGACCCCGCCCTTCCTCCTCCTCCTCCTCCTCCTCCGCGGCCCGGCCCAACATGGCGGTCGCCCCCCTTCCTCCTCCTCCTTTTCCTCCCCCCGGGGACGCCAGCCCCGGCCCGGCCGGGGGCCTGACCTGTCGTCAGGGAGCGGGAGGCGGTGGTGGAGGAGGTGCGGGGTGGCCGGGCGGGCGTCGGGGGAACACGGAGGAGGCGAAGGCGTTGATGGCGGCGGCGGCGATGGCGGCGGCGGCGACTCTGATGGCGGCGGCGGGGGGGTCCCGGGCGCGGCCTCCATAGTTCCTTTGGGGGGGAGGGGATGTTAATGCACGAAAAAGGACTGCTTGGGCGTGGCGGGAGGGGCACACTTCTGCTCGGAGGGCTCCTGATGGGAATGGGGTATATATTTTTTCGGTTTCGGAATCACCTCTGCGCCGACCTCCGCGTAGGCCGCTCGGCCTAGGCCTCGGCGGACCGCTCGCCGCCTGCTTTCTCCGCAGCCCACCCTTGCGGTCACTCGCTCACTGGCGCGGGGCCCTCATCGGGGCGAGAGCTCCCCGCACGCACCCCCGCGGGCCCGGGGACGGGAGATCCGGGAGACACGGACACTGGTGGGTGGTTGGATGTAATTAGCGCGGGCCGCGCGCGATGGAGCAAGCGAAGGGTAGGGGGAGAAGAGGAGAGCGAGCGAGCGAGGGGTGGGGGGTTAAAAAAAAAAAAAAAAGGATTTGAGGTAGAGAGGAGACGGGCCGACTGTCTCCCTGTCTGCTGCCCCGGGTGCCCCGGCTGCCCGGCCCCCGCCGCAATCAGGAATTGACACAAAATGGCGACTCGGCCCGGACCAGCCAAGAGGCTGAGGCGGGAGGAAGGGTGAGGTGGGAGGGGGAACTGGGAGGCGGGAGGCGGAGGCCGTGTCACGTGCAGGAGAGGGGAAGAGACCGCTTGCCCGAAGGCCGGCGGAAAGAGCCGAAGGTAAAGGGCGAGGCCGACGGGAGGCGGAAATAGCCGAAAGGAGCTGAGCGAGAGACAGGAGACGGCGGGGGAGAGTCGGAAAGAGCCGAAGGTGCTGATAGGGGTGGGGCTAGAGGGAGCAAGAGAAACCTAGGGCAGCCAGAAATAGCCTAAGCCGTTCGGGACCGGGGAAGGAGGAGAAACTCTGATGGTCCGGAAAGAGCCGAAGACAGTGTCCTGGTGGGTGGCAGGAGGTGGAAGCAGTCAGGATAATGCGATTAAGCGAATTAGCTGAACTGGCGGGGCTGGAGGGTCTATTAAGAGAATAAACCACTTTCAGAAAGTCGCCCGAGAGCAAGAGAGAAGAACCGAAAATTGCTAGCTGAAGGAAGGCGGGAAGAGCCGATAGTTTTAGGTGGGAGAATGGGAGGGAAGGAATTCAGGCTGTGGAGAAAAAATAAAAATAACCGAAAGCCGGAGGCCAGGTGCCAAGAGTCGGAGGTTTCCGGAGAAGAGGCGATGAAGCCCAGCCGCCCGGGGTGACGTCACTCAACAACTCAGTCGATGACGTCATCCTCGGAGGCGAGAGGGGCGGGGCTTGGTAGGCCCTCAGGGAAGTTTAAGGACCTGGGGTGTGGGGCCCTTCGAAGGCTCTCAAAAAGCGAAGGTGGAAACACTGCTGGTGACATAAGACTGTGTACCAAACAAATCTTTTGACCCTCACAACAGTCGTAAGATAACCTGCTGTTATACCCATTTGCAGACTGAAGTTCGGTGTTTAATTGGTTCAAGGTCATAGGATTAGTTCTAAAGAGTGCAGCAAGATTTTTTTTTTAAGAGACAGAGTCGTCAGATTGTGATGTGTGAAAAAAAAAAAAAAAAAAAAGAGTCGGTCGAGCGCAAAGGCTCACGCCTGTAATCCCTGCACATTGGGAGGCCGAGGCGGGTGGAACACAATGTCAGGAGTTCAAGACCAGCCTGGCCAAGATGATGAAACCCTGAAACCCCGTCTCTACCAAAAATACAAAATTAGCCAGGCGTGGTGCCAGGCACGGTGCCGGGCACCTGTAATTCCAGCTACTCGGGAGCCTGAGGCAGAGAATTGCTTGAACCCGGAAGGTGGAGGTTGCAATGAGCTGAGATGTACCACTGCACTCCAGCCTGGCCACAGAGATTCCATCTCAAAAAAAAGAGAATCTTGGCCGAGCGTGGTGGCTCACGCCTGTAATCCCAAAACTTTGGGAGGCCGAGGCGGGCCGATAATGAGATCAAGAGATTGAAACCATCCTGGCCAACATGGTGAAACCCCATCTCTACTAAAAATACAAGAATTAGCTGGGCGTGGTGGCGGGTGCCTGTAGTCCCAGCTACTCAAAAGGCTGAGGCGGGAGAATTTCTTGAACCTGGGAGACGGAGGTTGCAGTGAGCCCAGGTTGTCATCCTGGGCAATACAGTGAGTCTTTGACTCAAAAAAAAAAAAAAAATTCTGATAAATTGCTTACAGTAAATTTTCAGTGGATGAAACTTGTTTTGAGAAGCTAGTGCTGCCCCCCACCATCCCACACGGTATACCAGTTGACTGATTGGTATACCAGTCAGCTGACTGACTACCAGCCAAGAATTGTGTTACCCTTACCCAGACTATCGTCTTTCTGGATCGAATCTCCTATCTAATGGTTAACAATTCTCTTCTCCTATAAAATGTCCCATTGCCAGGCAGAGTGGCTTACGCCTGTAATCCCAGCACTTTGGGAGGCCAAGTCTCAAGGATCATAAGGTCAAGAGATTGAGACTATCTTGGTTAAGATGGTGAAACCCCATCTCTACTAAAAATACAAAAATTAGCTGGGTGCAGTGGTGGGTGCCTATAATCCCAGTTACTTGGGAGGCTGAGGCAGGAGAATCACTTGAACCTGGAAGTGGGAGGTTGCAGTGAGCCAAGATTGCGCCACTGCACTCCAGCCTGGTGACGGAGTAAGATTCCATCTCAAAAAAAAAAAAAAAAGTCCTTACCTATTACAGTGAATCTTAATAGGCCTACAAGGGACCTTATTTCCTTTCATGGAAGATTGTAATAAAATGTTCATACATGCTCATAACTATGTTGTCCAAAAAAAATTTCTTTCACACATCAAGAGCTAATATTGGCAGCTTTGTGGGAATGGAAAGGAAGGACACGAAACTGGCTCACTATGTGTGATTGTGGATGGTGCTGTTCCTTCCTTTACACCTTGATTCTTCAACCCTGTGTATGCTGGGCTATAGAGACCATGGGCCACATCTCAGCGGACAGCCATTGTCCTTTCAAGGTACGGTCCTGAGGGGGCCCCATCCCTGAAGCTTCAGCGGGGCCATTCCATAATTCTAGATGGACATCTGCTTTCAGTTAATGGGGAAAACAAAAACCCCACTGAGCAGGAATTCCCTGTACTTCAACGTCATAATGGAACATGATGGAACGTGGTCTACCAAGCCCTTCTGACGCTTCAGCTGACCTTTTTATTTTTATATTTTATTTATTTATTTATTTATTTATTTTGAGACAGAGTCTGGATCTGTTGCCCAGGCTGGAGTGCAGTGGTGCAATCTCAGCTCACTGCAACCTCCATCTCCCAGGTTCAAATGATTCTCATGTCTCAGCCTCCTAAGCAGCTGGGATTACAGGAGCTCACCACCACGCCCGGCTAATTTTTTGTGATTTTAGTAGAGATAGGGTTTCACCATGTTGGCCAGGCTGCTCTTAAATTCCTGAACTCAAGTGATCCACCCACCTAGGCCTCCCAAGTTGCTGGGATTACAGGCATGAGCCACCTTGCCCAGCCTATTTATTTATTTATTTTGAGATGGAGTCTTGCTCTGTTGCCCAGGCTGGAGTGCAGTGGTGTAATCCTGGCTCACTGCAACCTCCCGCCTCGTGGGTTTGAGCATTTCTGCAGCCTCGGCCTCCCAAGTAGCTGGGATCACAGGCACACTCCACCATGCCGAGCTAATTTTTGTATTTTTAGTAGAGATGGGGTTTCACCATGTTAGCCAGGCTGTTTGCAAACTGAACTTCTGACCTTGTGACCTGCCCACTTCAGCCTCCCAAACTGCTAGAATTACAGGGGTGAGCCACTGCACCCAGCTATTTGTTTTTTTTTTTTTTTGAGACGGAGTTTTTGCTCTTGTTACCCAGGCTGGAGTGCAATGGCGCGATCTCGGCTCACCGCAACCTCCGCCTCCTGGGTTCAGGCAATTCTCCTGCCTCAGCCTCCCGAGTAGCTGGGATTACAGGCACACGCCAACATGCCCAGCTAATTTTTTTTTTGTATTTTTAGTAGAGACGGGGTTTCACCATGTTGACCAGGATGGTCTCGATCTCTTGACCTCGTGATCCACCCGCCTTGGCCTCCCAAAGTGCTGGGATTACAGGCTTGAGCCACCGTGCCCGGCCTTGTTTTTTTTTTTTTTTTGAGACAGTTTCACTCTTGTTGCCAGTGCAGTGGCACTATCTTGGCTCACTACAACCTCCACCTTCCAGGTTCAAGCAGTTCTCCTGCCTTAGCCTCCCGAGTAGCTGGGATTACAGGCATGTGCACCCATGCCCAGCTAATTTTGTATTTTTAGTAGAGATGGGATTTCTCCATGTTGGTCAGGCTGAAATCCTGACCTCAGGCGATCCACCCGCTTTAACCTTCCAAAGTGCTGGGAATACAGGTGTGAGCCACCACACCTGGCTGACTTTTTTGTTTTATAGTTGTATTTATTTATTTATTTTGAGCCTGAGTTTCACTGTTATTTCTTTACTTATTTTGAGGCAGAGTTTTGCTCTTGTTGCCCAGGCCGAAGTGCAATGGTGTGATCTCAGCTCACTGCAACCTCTGTCTTCTCGGTTCAAGAAATTCTTCTACCTTAGCTTCCCAGTAGCTGGAACTACAAGCGCCTGTTGCCACACCCGGCTAATTTTTGTATTTCTAGTAGAGATGGGGTTTTGGCATGTTGGCCAGGCTGGTCTCAAACTCCTTACCTCAGATCATCTACCAGCCTCAGCCTCAGCCTATTTTTTATTGAAGAATAACACACATACAGAAAAGCATATAATCACAGGTATGCAGCTTGACACATTTACACAAAGTGAATATTCTGGGCTGGGCGCGGTGGCTCAGGCCTATAATCCCAGCACTTTGGGAGGCCGAGGCGGGTGGATCACGAGGTCAAGAGATCGAGACCATCCTGGCCAACATGGTAAAACCCCGTGTCTACTAAAAATACAAAGAATTAGCTGGGCATGGTGGCATGTGCCTGTAATCCCAGCTACTCAGGAGGCTGAGGCAGGAGAATTGCCTGAACCCAGGAGGCGGAGGTTGCGGTGAGCCGAGATAGTGCCACTGCACTGGCAACAAGAGTGAAACTGTCTCAAAAAAAAAAAAAAAACAAGGCCGGGCACGGTGGCTCAAGCCTGTAATCCCAGCACTTTGGGAGGCCAAGGCGGGTGGATCACGAGGTCAAGAGATCGAGACCATCCTGGTCAACATGGTGAAACCCCGTCTCTACTAAAAATACAAAAAAAAAATTAGCTGGGCATGTTGGCGTGTGCCTGTAATCCCAGCTACTCGGGAGGCTGAGGCAGGAGAATTGCCTGAACCCAGGAGGCGGAGGTTGCGGTGAGCCGAGATCGCGCCATTGCACTCCAGCCTGGGTAACAAGAGCAAAAACTCCGTCTCAAAAAAAAAAAAAAAAAGCTGGATGTCGTGGCGCACACCTGTAATCCCAGTTACTCAGGAGGCTGAGGCATGAGAATTGCTTGAACCTGGGAGATGGAAGTTGCAATGAGCTGAGATCGTGCCACTGCACTCCAGCCTGGGTGTCAGAGGGAGATTCCATTTCAAAAGAAAGAAAGAACAGACAGCGTATTCTACTG